GGTGAGATCCTGTGTTTAATGTCAGATTCCCCCATAGAGTGTGAGCTTCATGAGGGAGGGAACCTGCCTGTTTTGCTTGCCCTTGTATCCCAAGCACCTGGGACCAGGCCTGGCATACGGAAGGGGGCACAATACATTTAAAAATTTTTTTTTATTTTTTGTTGAGATATAATCAACATATAACTTTGTTAGTTTTAAGTGTACAACAGAATGATTCGATATTTGTATGTATTACGAAATGATTACCACAATAGGTTTAGTTAATATCCATCACCATGCATAGTTACAAATTTTTTTCTTGTGATGAGAACTTTTACCATTTATTCTCTTAGCAACTTGCAAATATACAGTACAGTACTGTTAGCTATGGTCACTTGCTGTACCAATAGTTGTTGAAGGAACCAGAGGAAAGTAGATGTCATCTCACAGAGGTGGTGGGACGGAGAAGAGGTCGAGGGGAGACCATGGAGGAAGCATGACAGGGACCTGGGAGGGAGAGGGTACAGCCTGAGCACAGGCAAGGGGCAGAAGTCCTGAGAGAGGAAGTAAGAAGTCTCAGGGGCCGGCCCGGTGGCGCAAGCGGTTAAGTGCACGCGCTCTGCTGTGGTGGCCCGGGGTTCGCCAGTTCGCATCCCGGGCGCGCACTGACGCACTGCTTGGCAAGCCATGCTGTGGTGGTGTCCCATATAAAGTGGAGGAAGATGGGCACAGATGTTAGCCCAGGGCCAGGCTTCCTCAGCAAAAAAGAGGAGGATTGGTATCGGATGTTAGCTCAGGGCTGGTCTTCCTCACAAAAAAAAAAAAGAAGTCTCAGTGCTGGTGGGCTTCAGTTCAGTGAAACTGACCCTGAGCCTTTGCTTGGTGCTGGGTCCTGGGCCTGCCCCCAAGCTCTGCAGACTCATGTGCATGTCTGTAACTCCAGTCTTGGTGAGATAAACTATGGACTCTGCTATGGGCAGAGCACACCTGGTGAGGGCATCAGGGATGGCTTCCTGGAGGAGGATGCTCTGGAGATGGACTTTGAAAGCTGAGAGGGACTTGGCCAGGAGGAGGAGAGTGATTCAAAGGCCTCCAAGGTTCTAAGCCTGGGTGAGTGGTTGAACACTGGGGGCACAGGCAGAGGCAGGGGCCTTGGGTTTTGGATACACTGATCAGCATCCAGGATCTTGGAGGATGGACAGGGACCTGTAAGGAGAGGTGGGTGTGACATGCATCTCAGGCTCACTTTTTCCTCTGCTGGGCCCTGATTGCTCCCTCACGCAGCACTGCCACCTCACCACTACGCACTCCAGCCTGGGTTCCAGGCCACTGAGACCAGGCTGTGTCCCGGCCCCATTCCTCACCTCACTCCCAGCCTTCCTGCAGCCTCTCCCCAACCTGAGCCTGCCCTCATCTTCCACCCAAGAACCTCTTTCCCTCACATCACCTCCCCTAGGAAGTCCTCTAGGATTCTTTGTGCTGGGCTCTTTCACAGACCTCTCTCACCCCCCTGCACTTGGTCACATACCCCACATTGTAGAGATGGGAAAACTGAGGCTCACAGAGATGAAGTGACTGCCCACAATCATAGAGCTGATTAGGGAGTTAAATCTGGGTCGGTGGACTCTGAAGCCCACTCTCACTGCACCACAAAGGCTAAGCCGGCTGGCAGGGAGCCTGGGGGATCAAGGCTGCTCCTCCTAGCCAAAGCTCTCCTCTGGGTGCCCTAGGGGGTTGCACATTGTACTGAACAGGGGAGGTAGGAGCTTGAGGGACAATATAGCACAGTGGTTAGAAGCAGAGACTTGGGAACCAGAGTGCTCAGGTTCAAGTTAGCTCCCTATACCCCAATTTACCCTTCTGCAAAATGGGATGATAACAGTACTTCCCTTATGGGGTTATTGTGGGAATTAAATGAAACACATAAAAAGCTGTATATAAGCGTTGTTTGTTGTTGCTTCCTTTCCTGAAGCCCCTCTGCTCAGTCAGGGACCACTGTTTCTCTGACTCTGGTCAGTGGTGGGCTCCAGGGAGTGGGGGTTCCTCTCTGCTCTAGCCTGGGGGACTGAAGATAGGAGGAAGTATAATTTCCTACCATCACCATTTTATAGATGAGGAAGCCAGGCCTCAGAGAGGAGAGGTCATTTGCCCAAGGTCACACAGTCAGCGACAGAGCCAGTATTAGAACCTGGGCCTACCCAGACCCTGGGCCTGGCATCTTCCCACTGCACAAGCTGCCTCCCCAGCATGTTGTTGACCCCTCTGTGGGAAGGATGGGAACGTTTCTTTTACTAGAAGACCCAGGATGCTCTTTTCCCAGGTCTAAGGTATACACAAAACCCCTGTATCCAGGAGTGAGGCTCATTCCTCTACCCCATCTCCTGTGCTTGGCTGGAGCTCAGCTGGCCACTGCAGCTCAGGAGCTAGTGCCAGACCCTCCCCACCCCGATCCCAGTGGACCCTGGGGATGGCCAGAGTTGGGGAGTCTGGGCACAGAAGGCAGGCCCGGCTGATAAGGGAAGTGGACCATGGGCTCTGGAACCAAGCAGCCCTGGGTTTGAATTCAGCTCTGCCACCAGTTTACTGGGTGACTTTGGCTACATCACTTCACCTCCCCGAGCCCTGTGTTATTCAGCTGTAAAATGGGTGGAATAAAACCTCTTTTTACGGTTCTTGCGAGGTTGTTGCCTTGAGGTTGGTGCCTAGTATGTGCCCAGTACACATCTGTTGAGTGACCAACCGACTGACCAGATGCATGTAAAAGTTAGTTAGCACAGGGACTGACCCAGGAAGGCAGCTTCTGACCACGGCTCCTTGGTACCTGGCCCTCCCCTGGGCTGCCCCTTAAATGCAGCCTCCCCTCTAGTCCTTCTGTCCTGCCCCACAATTGGTCCTCAGCCTGCTAGGTCACCCCTGATCAGGCACTGCTGCCCTCCCCATCCCCCGTTTATGGTCTCTTTAACGCTTTCCAGCCAAGCCCATCCCCCAGCTTCCACACATGTCCCTCACTGTCCCATCTCTGGTCCTGCTTGACCTCAGACCTGAAGATTATCTCTTTCAACATCTTTTTTTTGCTGAGGAAGCTTGGCCCTGAGCGAATATCGGTGCCCATCTGCCTCTATTTTGTATGTGGGATGCCACCACAGCATGGCTTGATGAGCAGTGCATAGGTCCAAGCCTGGGATCTGGGCCTGCAAACCTGGGGCCGCCGAAGTGGACCGCACGAACTTAACCACTACACCACCAGGCCGGCCCCTCTTTCAATCTCTTATATTCGCCCTCAACCACAGTTTACTTGTTCTCATAACATTTATTGTTTGGTTCCTGTATGGCATCCAACAACAGTAGAGGCCTGGTTGGATAAATTATAACATGAATACTGTACAATACTGGATATCCATGGTTGCAGAGCAGTTATGAACTTAACCTTGATGGATTCAAATGCTTGAATTCAAATCCCAGCTCGACCCCTCATTAGCTCTGTGACTTTGGGGAAATTATTTAACTTTTCTATGCCTCAGTTTCCTCATCTACAAAATGGGATAACGATAGTATCTACGTGGTAAAGTTGTTGTAAAAAATTAGCCACCTAGAATGGATGCTCTGTAGGGGCAAGGATTTTGGTCTGTTTTGTTCACTGCTGTATCCCCCGTGCCCAGCCCAGTGCCTGGTACATATAAGCTGTTCAATAAGTATTTGTTTGAACAAATCTGTGGAATAATAAGGTACTGCACCTGAAGTAGCACTATCCAATAGAAATATAATGCAAGCCACACATATGACTTTAAGATTTCTAGTAGTCATCTTAAAAAAGGTGAAATTAATTTTAATAATACATATTTTAATGTAATATATCCAAAATATCATTACAATAAGAAATCAATATAAAAATTATTAATGAGATATTTTCCATTCTTTTTCTCCTACTAAGTCTTCAAAATCTGGTGTATATTTTACCCATATACCACATTTCAGCTATACAACAATATCTTAAGCAATGTAACAAAGTAAAACATAGTCCTACCACAAAATAAAGTTGTATTTAACAGAAATATTTTTATTTTTAAATTTAATTAAAATTAAAATTTAGTTCCTCAGTAGCACCAGCCACACTTCAAGGGCTCGGGAGCCACATGTGGTTAGTGGCTCCCACGTTGGGAGAGCACAGACATAAAGGGCTTGGCACGAGTGAAGTTCTCAGTGAAGTTCAGCTGTTATCGCTGGTGATCTGGAAGACGGCTGTGCTTCCTGGTGACTAAAACCAGCACGTCGCTGAGCACTGTGTACAGCATGACTTCACTTGTGCAAAGAAAAACCCCGCCCCCATCTGTTGATACATGTTCAATATGTCAGCCAGATGTAAGCAGAAGCCGCCTCGCCGTGAGAGCTCCAGGCCCTCTCCACGAGTGCAGCAGGGAAAAATGACATGGACAACCACAGACACCTCCTAAGGAGGGTGGCCAGGACAATGGAAGGCCTTTGTGTTAGCTCTGTGAACCGTACGATAGGAGAGCTGGGGAGCTGGATTGCTCGGGTAAAGGAGGGAGAATTCGAATTTCCCAAGTCAGGGGAGGACAGGTGAGGGACAAGATGGTGAAACGCAGGGGGCAAAGGGCCAGGGAGCATTTCTTGTTGACGGGATGGCCGAAAGGACTTCCAACCTATCACAGAGATGACACTGCAAATGGTTTGCTGTGTGGGGTACAGTGTGAATACTTCAGGGACCCCCAAACCCTTTGTGAGGTGTACTCAACTGACCAACGTCTGTGTGCACGAGTTTAGGGTAGAATCCAGAAAGGGGCTGAGCTTCTCATCTGGGTCAGAGAAGAGAGACAGCAAAGGCAGAGCCAAGGGCTGGAGACTGGACACATAAGGGTTCCCTCTCTTTCCTCCCACATCTTTCTTGAGACTCAAAGAAATCTGGAAGTGACTTGTGACTTCCCACAGTTCAGGGAGGGGAGGTCTGAGCCCATCTCAGCAGCAAGGGAGGCCTCAGAAGATATCTGGACCTCTCTGTTGGTAAAGACCCAGAAAAAAACCTGGGAGGGTCCACACCAACCTGGTGGTAGCTGCCTCTGGAAGGACAGTGGGTTTGGAGAGGTGAAGAGGATTTTCACGTCTGCTGTATGTCTGTGTTGCTTGAATTGTCTCAAAAAATATTTTTATAGTGAGCGGGTAATACTTTTATGTTTAGAAGGAAAAGAAAACACTCCCTTCTTTACCTCCCTCCCAAGCCCACACATGGCTAGTGTGGAAAATTGAACGTTCCAGCAGGTAAGTAGGAATAAGAAACAAAAGTTGTTATTAACTCACTGCCCAGCAGTGACTGCTGTCTCTTCAGTCGCTGCTGAAACTCTGGGGAAATGTCCAGGCTCTGGGCTGGCCCTCTGTAGTGCAGGCCCTGGTAGGGCCTCGCCATTTTGCCCCAGCCCCAGAGTAGCTGAAGGTCAGAGTAGCCAAAAAGGTTACTTTAGGGGGCCAGCCTGGTGGCAGGTGACCCCGTGGCATGGTGGTTAAGTTCGCATGCTCCACTTTGGCAGCCCAGGGTTTGTGGGTTCAGATACTGGGCATGGACATACACACCGCTCATCAAGCCATGCTGTGATGGCATCCCACATACAAAGAGAGGAAGATTGGCACAGATGTTAGCTCAAGGCCAATCCTCCTCACACACACACACACACAAAGGTTGCTTTAGGGCTCAGGGGCTGTGAGGAGTCTTGGCCCCTGTGCCTGGGGGGTCCTGGTGGAAAATGGGGCCCTTCCTTTGGCATAGGGCCCACTGCAGGCCTTGGGAATGTCTGGGCTCAATTTGGGGGCTGTTCTGGGAAAATGGGAGCCCCACCTGTGGCACTGGGGACACTTTCTTGTGGCATGGAGGTGGAGGTTTGAGCCCATCAGGTCAGGAATTTGGTCCACTCACTGTGAGCAGGTTCCTTAACCATCCTGGGCTTCAGTGTTCTTTTTTGTGAAATGTTGTAAGGGTTAAATGAGATAACTTATGCCATATACTTAGCACAGAGTGACCTTAGTAAGAATAAAAACATTCCAAAAACTAGTCTTTGCTCAGCTAAATTCCTCAGCCCTGGTGAAGAAGGTGAGAGGAGATGACATTTTTTTCTGTTAAACTAGGGGGTGGGAGATGGGGTCCCAACGGCCTGTGTTCTCTCTGGTAGGAGCAGCGAGTTCCTGGAGACCCTGTCCTGGCGCAGTGGCACCAGCAGGGAAGCAGGACACTTTGTTTCAGTGGCAGAAAATCGTGGGTGTTGGGGGGCAGGTGGCAGCTGTAATGTCTGCGGAATATCAGGGGGACCAGATCAGTGTGGAGGCAGGTGTGCATTCTAGTCTCCACTCTGCCCTCGGCATGGCCCAGGGCACACTCACGGGAATCAGAATAGTGTGGAGGATTCTAGCGCAGCCTTCGGGCTCAGACCACCCAAGTTCAAGGCAAGTTTAGTTACTTGCCAACTATGAGATTTTGGGTAAGTACTTAACTCTCCTGGTGCCTCAATTCTCCCATCTGTAAAATGGGAACAATGATATTACTACGTTGTGAGAGTTAAATGAGACAATTCAAGTGAAGCGTTTGGGAGGGTACCAGTCTTACAGTGAGAGCTCAGTAAGGATGCCGAGTTGTCAGTATTTCCTGTCTGCATCATGAGAGTGGCAGGGGATCCTTGGGGTTCTTTCTGGTTTTAAAAGTTATCATCTTTCAAGTGTCTGACCTAGACCTCTCAGAGGGCAGTTTAAGACCAGTCTCTCCCATTCAGTTCTCCCTGCAGCCCTGAAGAATGACAAAGCTTTTGAATGACAAAGCTTGAGAAAAACATTCTCTACTCCCTGCGTTTTTGTGGGAAAATGAAGGGGATGTTTCTGCTATGGTCAGTCAATAATGTTCCAACCTTCTAGTCCAGAGCCCAGGCCAGGGTGATAGTTTATATTCCCATTTTCAAGCCCAACTCATTCATTCACATAGCAAATGCTATCTGAGCCATGGTTCTATCTGAGCAGAACAGTCATGGTTCATGGGGTGGGCTCTGGAGCCAGACGGTGTGGGCTGGACTCCAGGCTATGCCACTATAGCACATGTGACCTCAAAAGGCCTCAACCTCTCCAAGACCCAGTGTCTTCATCTGTAAAATGGAGACGTTAATTCCCACTTCTCAAGTTAGTATGAGCATAAAACAAAACAATCTATTGGCTCTGACGGTTTTCAGCTGTAACAGATTACCAGACAAAAACAATAAAGGCATTTTATTACCTCACAGAAGTATCTGGAGTTTGGTAACTTGAAAGATGGGTTGGCAGCTCAGTGCTATCTCAGGGTATTTCTGCTCTGCCACTCTCAGTGTTTCAGCAACATTTGGCCTTCTGATCACAATGTGGTTGCTGCAGCTCCAGCTTCACATCCTCATACACCACCACTCAAGCAGAGAGTAAGGGGGCAAACAGTAACACATCTTTCTTCTCTAGAAACTCTTTTCCTCAAGAAAATCTTTCTCAGACTTTAGTGGGCACAGCAATCACCTGAACAGCTTTTAAAACGACAAGAGTCCTGGGCCCCTTCTCCAGAGATTCGGACTCTGTGGGTTTGGGGCAGGACTCAAGAACTACATTGCTAACAAGTTCACAGGTATGCTGAGGCACTGCCCCAAATAGAATTAATGGTGGCTTGGACTGAGCTTGTGTCTTACCCTGGTGTTAACTTTGGTCCTTGAGAAAGAAGAGGCTGAGGAAAGGGTTAAAGTGCTCCTACTTTACTTGGAGATGCAAGCCCAGAGAGAGAGGGTGAGGAAGGGCAGGAAAGATGCAAAGCAATGAGATTTGATGCATTATATACTGGCTACTGCTTCCCAACAGGCTGCAAAGAGACACAGTAGGTCACTCAGCAGGTGTATTTACTTGGCACAAGAGACTCTTCTGGAAGGGCTGAAAGCAGGAACCTTGGAGAGAGGAAGGAGGCAGTTATCAGTCCAGTTCCCTCCCTTTCCATCTCCCGTTTCCTGTTTTTGAACGTTTACCTCTGGGGAGCGAACGTCTCCATAGTTCTGGACTGAATCAACCAGCCACTTGGCTGCCTTTTAGGAAGCCGGATCTCATGCCTTAGGAGTGGTTTTCATCCGCGTCTGAAAGTGGAGGGGTGACGTGGTGCACGTGGGGTCCAAACGAGAGGGCTGAAGAGGCAGTTGAGGAATCACAGGGAACTTAACGGGTTTGTGTCCACGCAGGCAGTATAGGGCAGACAGTGGTAACTGAGTGGGTCCAAAGATTTTAAAAATTGAACCAATAGTATTTACTGATGGACTGATTATGGAGCGTGAGAGACAGGGAGAAATGAAGGTTCTGGTGGATGATATTGCCATTTACTTAGACGGGGAAAGCTTATGGGGAAATTACTTTGTTAGGAAAATTAATAAGTTTTTTGCCGTTAGATTGGTGAAGTCTATTAAGTGGTCTAAGACTGGATCTGAGGGGAGGGGTTCTGTCTAGAGGTAAGAACTTGAGTCACTGTCTCATAGATATTTCAAGTAGGAATACTGGTTGTAGACACCTAAGAAAACAGGTTGGTTGAGAAGAGAAGGGAAATAAAGCAGAAACTGACTCTGGCAAGATGTACACCATTGGCTGCCCGCTTAACAGTTGGCGGGGAGAGTCTCCTGTGGGATGTGGGATGAGGAGAGAACGGGGGGAGACAAAGTGGCGATGGAGAAGAGACTTCGAGTTTTGCTGTAAAGGGAAGCAGAAAAATGGGGTGGTGGCTCAAGAGGGCCAAGGGAGGATGCTTTTTTTGTGTGTGAGGAAGATCAGCCCTGACAATCTTTTTTTTTGCTGAGGAAGACTGGCCCTGGGCTAACATCTGTGCCCATCTTCCTTCACTTTATATGGGATGCCGCCACAGCATGGCTTGACAAGCAGTGCATTGGTGCACACGCACGATCCGAACCCGGGCTGCCAGCAGCGGAGCACGTGCACTTAACCACTGTGCCACGGGGCCAGCCCAAGGGAGGATGCTTTTAAGGCTTAGCGTGTTTGCAGGCGAGAATGATCCAGTAGAGAAGAAATGCATAAAAGGCAAGAGGGGAAGGGGACATCTGCACAGGTTTATTCTTCGAGGAGCTGAGAGGGATGGATCTGGATCACAAGTCGCAGGCTTGGACTCAGAGATGAGAGGGGCTCCCCTCAACAGTCGAGTGCACACTACATTGCAGGTAGGTAGTGGAGGAGGTGGGATAAGATGAGGTACCTCTTTTCTGACTGCATCTTCTATGATTATGAAGTTTAAAGGGAAGTCCTTGAAGAGGGTGCTGGAAATGGGAGATGAGGTGAAAGTGTGAAATACGTTATCTGAGAGAGGAAGTGTGAATATTTGAGAGAAACGTAATAGGAGAGTCTGGCAGTGCCGAAGGTCCGTTTGAAATGCAGTCATAACCATGAAATGAGTTGGCTCAGCACGGTGGTGGGTGCAGGTGCCAGCTAAGTGCCAGGTGAGTGTGATGGAGAGAAGAAAGGGAGCTGAGCATGGTTTTAGTGCTGGACAATGGAATCTAGGCTGAATAAGAAGGGAAGTGAAGAGAGGAGGTGACTGGTGGGGAAAGGCGAAAAAGAGGTAGGGTCAACGGACTAGAGGTCTCAGGGAAGTTGGAGGAGAATAAGATTATTACATAAAGGCATTACTATAATGTTAACTATTAAATGAAAACACACACCTTTCTAAATACCAAAAACAAACAGCTAAAAAAAAAACTAAAAGAGAGGGACTGGCCCCATGGTGTAGTAGTTAAAGTTTGGCACACTCTGCTCTGGTGGCCCAGGTTTGCAGATTTGTATCCTGGGTGTGGACCTACACCGCTCATCAGCCATGCTGTGGCGGCAACCCACAGACAAAAAACAGAGGAAGACTGGCACAGATGTTAGCTTAGGGTTAATCTTCCTCAAGCAAAAAAAGAGGAAGATTGGCAACAGATGTTAGGTCAGGCCCCAGTCTCCCTCAACAAAAAACAAAAACAAAAAACTAAAAGAGAAAAAATACACACTACGTAAGAAAGACCATATAAAAAGACTTGCAATACATGTAAATATAACATAAAACAATATGATGGAATTAAGGCCAAACATTACTTATCATTTTATGCTGCTGTAAAAACACTGAGGCATCTCTAGAATATATCTCCAGAATATATTGTTACGTGAATGAGCAAGGTGGAAAAAAGTATAGTATGCTATCTTTATATAAGAAAGGGAGAATATAACAATTTCTTTTTTTGTTTTGTGAGGAAGATCAGCCCTGTGCTAACATCTGCCAATCCTCCTTTTTTTGCTGAGGAAGACTGGCCCTGGGCTAACATCTGTGCCCAGCCTCCTCCACTTTATATGGGACGCCACCAAGTCCCATGGCCTGCCAAGTGGTGCGTCGGTGCGCGCCCAGGATCCGAACTGGCGCACCCTGGGCTGCCGCAGCAGAGCGTGCGCATTTAACCGCTTGCGCCACCGGGCCAGCCCCCTAACATAATTTCTTTAAATTAAAAAAAAAAACCAACAACAGAAAGATTAACTAAAATAAAAATGGTCACTAAGTGGGAAGAGAGGGAATAAGGCAGAGGACACAGGAATAGAAACTAGACTTCTCTGACTCTATCTTATTTTGCAGATTAGACTTGGAGCTCTGTAAATATTTTACATAACTAAAATTAAAAGAAATTCCCAAAAATGGGAAAATAAATAAAACAGCTTAAGGTAAATGTGTATACAGTTAGTAGTTAAGACACACAGAGAGGAACTATACTAAGTTTAAAACAGTGTAAATTGTTCGTGCCTCATAGGAAATACTCCAAGAACAAAAAGAACTACAAACAAAACCTTAAATGCCTTTGTTATTCTGATACTGTTGTGTAACATGGGATAAAACAATTGAGTAACTGTGATATTCTAATCTTATAATTCAGGATACAAATGAGAATGGGATTCTCAGTGTTGAGGAAAAAATACACAGATGTAGTTAAGAAAAATCTCTCAAGTCTTGAATTTGAATACAAAGTATCAATGTGTTTTACCTTAAAAAAGATGTTTTATCTTAAAAAGAAAATGTCCTAGCTCTGTGCACCAAAAAGGCCTAGAAACAATAACACAGTAGCAGTGGGCATTCTAGAGCCTAGATTTTGGTTTTGCAATGCCATTCACCACTAAAAGGAACTAGGATTTTTGTTTTTGTTTTCCTAGAAATAGCTGACTCCAGGTTTGGAGCAGGAAATGTACAAGATAAGTCTGGAACATTCTATCATACTAGATAGCAAGGAGGTTACCAAATACTATCAAAAGGGTTGTATCAAAATCAGAAGCCAACTTGAAGAGGCCCTCACTGGACAAAAATAAGGACAATGTGAATATCACTAAGTTTAATAAGTGCAATGTACTGAAACACATAGTATGTTTAAGTGATCATGATACTAAAAAACAACTCACTGGTCACTTTTGGAGGATGCTCGTAAACTAACTCATTACTTTGAAAACTGGCATAAGATTTGAGCATTTATCCTCTTTCCCTATAAACTTTAACTTTAGATAACTAAATAGCAGATGAGTGAACGTATCTCTTTATAGTGGTATTTCAGGTATTACACGAAGAAGGAATGGCAGAATTAGAATATCACCATTTTGCAACCCTGGATGAATTAACGGATCTAGGCATTGAGCTTCGATGGCTGCAACATATAAAAACAGACAACCAGACATGATGCGTCTCCTGAGGAAAGCATACAACACTATCTATGAGGTTTTCTTGCCACTAAATCTTAATCCAGTCACACCTCTAGATCTATTCCTAATTAACAAGAAATACAAACGACAGACAAACCTGTTAAATGACACCATAGAGATATAATAGCAAAATCCAGGCTGGGAAACAAGAGATAGACAGCAACCTATAGGCTCAAACAGATTCCATGAAATATGCCAACCAATTGTAACATCGACTCTGGATTCTCATTCGAACAAATAAATTACTAAAAAAAAAAAAAAAAAAAAAAAGACACTTAGGCAATTAAAAATTTGAGAACTTAAGTATTTCACAATATTAATGAATTAACGTTAATTTTTTGGTATGAAAACGGTATCGTGATGTTCTTAAAATAAGCCCATGTCCTTTAAAGATATATAGTGAAATATTTATGCATAAAATGCTATGGTGTCAGGTCATCGTGAGGAGGAGAAGTAGACAGTGGTATAAATGAAACAAGATTGGCCATGAGTTGATAATTCCTGAGTATATGTGAGAGGTACATGGGGTTCTTGATGTTATTCTACTTTTGCACATATTTGAAATTTTCCATGAAAAAAAAAATTAAAAAAATTTTTTTCCAAAGTAGTCATCATGATTTAGGCACTCATTGGAAATGTGTGATGAGGAGGAGGGAGGGTGGTATTGAGGTAACTTTCAGGTTTCTTGCTTGAGGGACAGAATGGGTAGTGGTGCTTTTATCAGATCTAGGAAAAGCAAGGGAGGTGGGTTTGTGAACAACATGAGATCCGTTTCGGTCATGCTGAATTTGGGATTCTTGTATTATCCAGGTGGGATTGCACAGGAGGTGCAAATACTTAACTCAGGAGAGATGTGGGCAAGAGATGAAAATGTGAGTCACTGGATGATGTCACAAGGAAGAACTGTAAAGGGTATCTCAAAGGGGTTCGAGGAGTGGTCATAGAGAGAACTAGACAAACAAGGTCTTAGAAACTGGAAGGCCTAGAAAGAGGTGTAAAACAGTTTTTAGGAGGATGGAATGCTTGGACTCCTACCTCACACCATATACAAACATTAACTCAAAATGGTTCAAAGACCTAAATTTAAGAGCTAAAATTATTTAAAACTCTTAGGAGACATAGGTGTAAATCTTTATGACCTTGGACTAGGCAATGAATTTAGATATGACACCAAAAGCACAAGCTAAAATTAAATAAATTGGACCTCATCAAAATTAAAAACTGTTGTGTGTCAAAGGACTTCACATCAAGCAAGTGAAGAAAACTCAGAATGGGAGAAAATACTTGCATATCATGTATTTGATAAGGATCTAGTATCCAGAATATATAAAGAACTCCACCTCAACAATAAAAAAATAACCCAATTAAAAAATGGGCAAAGGATTTGAATAGACATTTAAAAAAAAAAAATCCAAACACACAAATGGCCAATAAGCATATGAAAAGATGCTCAACATCCTAGTCACTAGGGAAAAGCAAATCAATACCACAATAACATATCACTCCATACCCACTAGCATGCTTATAATAAAAAAGAGAAAAAAGGGAAAATATGTGTTGACAAGGATATGGAGAAATTTGGAACGCTCCTACACTGCTGGTGGTAACGCAAAATGGGTGTAGCCACTGCGGAAAAGTGACCTGGCAGTTCCTCAAAAAGTTAAACACAGAGATACCATATGACCTAGCAATTCCATTATATACCCAAAAGAACTGAAAACGTGCATCCATATAAAAACTTGTGTCCCATACTCATAATAGTATTCATAATACTCATAATAGCCAAAAAGTGGAAACCCAAATGTCTATCAACTGATGAATAAAATGTGGTATATCCATACAATGAAAAGGAACGAAGTACATGCTACATGGATGACCCTTGCAAACATTACGCTAAGTGCAAGAAGGCAGTCACAAGACCGCATATTATGACTCCATTTAGATGGAATGTCCATTTAGATGGAATGTCCAGAGTAGACCAACCTATAGAGACAGAAAGGGGATTAGTGGTTGCCTAGGGCTGGGGGAAGGAGGGATTGGAGAGCAACTGCCAACAGGTATTTTTGGAGTGATAAAAATATTCTGGACTTAGTCGTGATTGTTGCACAACCTTGTCAATATACTAAAAACCACTGGACTGTATGCTTTCTAATGGAGAACTTGATGGTGTGTGAATTATATCTCAATTTTAAAAAAGGTGAGGGGCTTGTGCTCAGCAGTGTCAAATGCTGCAATGAAGCCAGGTAAGGCAAGGCCTCGAGAGACCATGGGATCTGAGAGTAGCATTAAGATTGTCCACTCAGGGCTGGCCCCGTGGCTTAGCGGTTAGGTGCGCGTGCTACGCTGCTGGCGGCCTGGGTTCGGATCCCGGGCACACACCGACGCGCCGCTTCTCCGGCCATGCTGAGGCCGCGTCCCACATACAGCAACTAGAAGGACGTGCAGCTATGACACACAGCTATCTACTGGGGCTTTGGGGGAAAAATAAATAAATAAAATTATTAAAAAAAAAAAAAATTGTCCACTCAACAGCCCTTTTCCTCTTCTGTCATCATCTATCCCTCCCCTACTTAATTCCAATTAATTCTGGCTGAATCCTAAACAGATCCTATGGTTCCATCCCTCTTGCCATGATTGGTTTAAAAGTGGGCAGGTGATCTAGTTCTGCTCAATGAAACTCAGGCTGCTGTGCGGCTTCTAGGAAATAATCATTCTTAAGGAGAATAAAAAGGTCTTCTACCTCTAGACATTGGTGTGTCAAGCTGAGGCCTGGAGCAGCTGACTTGGAGGTGAGGCAGTTGGACAACATGCTGAGGGCAACAAAGTCAGAAAGAACCACCTAGGTTCTTAGAATCACCGGACCACAGGACTTCTCTTAGGGAGATAAATCCTCCTGTTGTTTTAGCCTTTTGATTTTACTATTTTTTTTTTACTTAGAGCCCAAAGGACTCTAACATGGGTCACTGGTAACTCTTCCTGAGATGGGTGAGCAGAATGAGCTCAGGGACAGGCCTGAGGGGAAGGGAATCCATTTTTCTATTATCTTACTATGTTTAGGTCAGGGCTGGCACCGGGCATGCTATTACAGCCGTCTCAAATGTCCCTATCATGTTTTGATGTCTGGTTTCTTGTTTAAGCCCAGGCACTTGCATGGTCCACAACCAGTCAAATCAGTAAATATTTTCCAGGAAGGAAAAAAAGTTCAAGCTCACCCTACTCAGCCTAATTTTCAGATAATAGAAAGAGAGGATTGCTACTGAGTTTAACCTCAGCCAACCACTTCACATCTGCTTCTTAACTATAAAATGGGACTAACGCCTACAAGGGATTCACTCAAAGATTAAATAGCAGCATATGGCCAAGCTCCTAGCACAGTCCATGGCTCAACACGTTTTCCTGAATCTGACCTCAGACAAATATTGATAACGGAACTCCAACCGTGGCTTTCTCAAATTCTGCAACTTCTGCACCAATACCAAGCTGCTGCCCCCTACCCCTAACAGCTGTACTGGTTTCCACTCTGGAAGATGTCACCTGAGTAAAAATTAAGAATCTACAACCTAGAACTATTTCAGCAAAAATAAAGGCAGATGACTGGAAATTGCCTAAGTGGACAAATTTTACTGTATCCACAAGGTGCCCCCAAATAGGAATGTAAGTCACAAAGTACTTCTGACTCAAGTTAGGGTCTAAATCCTGACTTTGTGTCACTGGATGTACACACAACCGCTACTTGAGATGTACACATAACTTTGAAAAAGTTTCTTCATCTGAGCCCATTTCCCCATCCAGAGAAAGGGTGTTAACACTTGGATTACACAACTGTCCCCAAACCGAAGGCCAGAGATAATACACAAAATTATCAAGGAAGAGCTTCACTAATATGATAGCTCTATCTTCTGGACTAAGGGGATAAACAAACCAATATAACGTATTTTTTTGTAGTCTCCAATTTACTTTATTCCCCTCAAACAGAGGTGACCTACAAGAGCAAATTCAAATTGCGAGCACCAGTTTATTACACTACAAGTTCTATTTCCTAACATAACTTCTTGCTATTTCACCAGGGTCTCCAAACTAAAGCAATCCAAAGAGTCCCCATTAATGTGTTTTTGGACCTGAAGTAGTTCACCAGCAAGGACGAGAATTTAATCAATTCACAGAAGATTTGCAGGTCTGCTTAAGAGCAGAATGCCATCTGTCTAACATACCTTATGGCCAACTGTGTACAGACAGAAACACTTTCTCCTGACACAAGACTATAGTTGGATCTATTAGCTAATTTTACAGGTTTTAAACGTAAATGAAGTAAAGAGGCTCTTCTGCTGTCAACTACCAGGCCAAAACCTCAGGTCTAACGAAAATCTGCATTTAAACATATATTTCAGGTAAAGCTGCATGACAAGCACAGAAACTACTTCTCTGCTCCCAGTCTCTCACCACTAGTCTACTTACTCCTGGGATCTTTCCTAGCTCTACCTAGCACTGTGTTCTACGGACTGCCTACAAATCAAGGACTGACTGTACATGGAGCCTCTACACCTCACACACTAGAATGCATCCTATCCCAAGAGACTTGGAGAAACTTGGCTCCCCAACTCCTGGGAAAAGATTAGAGGCAGCATTCCAAGCCAAACTGTATCCAGCTTTATTAAAGATACTTTTCATAAACAATCATGGTATTTCAGGCAGGACATGGGCAGACAATCGTTAACAGTATACAACAACTTTCAAACTCCCTTCTTCAATGGACTACCAAAATCAGAAAGCCACTATAAAACCCAACGAAGTCTTCATCTGATGCTCTGAACAGGGAAAGTTTAGAGTGAGGGTTGACATTTCACATTTAGTATGTTGTTTAACAACTTTTCACAAGCCGACCCTGACTTTCAGGAAATGAAATGAAAATGGCAGAATTATCAATCTGAAGATCCACAATCTAAAAACGGAACCACTGCTCTTTTGAGGGATACCATCTCAATGGTGACACTGGAAGTCCAGATTGCATGACATACTGGTAACCAATTTTTTTGGATCAAGTCTCAAGAGGTCTCTGGGTTTAAGGGAGTCAGGTCTATGCTGAAGGCGGAGAGGGTGAAGAGGACATAAAAACGAATTTTAGTTTTTCCACACCACCAGGCGTTTGTACCAAGGTGGCTCATGTGTGTCAACATCAAGAGAACTCTCCTCCTGGGAACCAAGAGGAAGGTCTCTCAAAACTAGAAGGGAAAGATCTTTTCTCCCCCATGTCAATCCACCTTTGGAGACATTCTATTAGTGACATATGCCCTTCCCCCAAAAACAACAATGAAGTGTTCTGTGTGCTAACAACATAGCTTAAAAAAAAAAGTAAAACAAAATTCTGCATTTTTATAAAACTTGATAAAAAATAGTATTTCAAACTGTACAGTCACCAGAAGTACACAGTTATCAAAAATGCACACACTTCACTTGGCATCTCCAGCACCTTCAGCTTTCTGTGCCTAAAAGAAAAACAAACAGATTAAAACAATGTATAGATTTTGAAACTAACTTCATTCATATTCCATCTACAGCATTACTTTGTCCACAGGCCAAAGTTCAGGTTTTAGGCACTTCAACACTGAGACTCAGTACTTCTTTGGAAACTGAATTTCTAGGTAACTGCATTAAGTCACTTCCCCTCTGGACCTTACTGCAAAACTGGGGAAGGCGACAGACCAGCATAGAAGATCTGAGGTTACTCCCAGCTTAAAAACTCTATGCTGTAGTATCAGTGTGAGACCTAATGACAGGACAAGGATCTCACCCACTGCCCTTTGTAATCAGATGGCAGACTTCAAACATCCAGGATTTACATTAACAGGAAAACCATAAGCAAACTCTAGACTGAAAGGCATACTTGGAGTGATGTAGATGCAGGAAAAAGGCAATAAACCCCCTTGGGATCAGTAATTAGTGGAACGAGCAGACTTAAAAAAAAATGAAGCAGCAGTTGTACCTGGTCTGTTTTGGCATCTCCATTTTCTGCAGGGTTATTCCCATCCTTGCCAGCATCAGCTTTCCCCTTTTTCCCTTTGGGTACCTTCTCTCCCTTCTAAAAGGGGGGGAGGAAAAAAAAAAAAAAAAAAAGCTGTTTCTCCTCATTTCATATTACCAGGGTATGGTCTGCAAAGTTCTGCACAAGGTAGGATTGTCTATGGAAGATAAAACACACATACACAAACTATGAACCCTCCCTCATTGATAAAAACAACTGATCAAAACTAGGCCAAATTATCTATACTTTGCTATGGTCTTCGGTATACAAAAACTTTTATCTGACTATAAATGATAGAAGAATAAGACAGCTTCAACACTTAGGTGTTTAATAACCAAGTGCAGAGTTTTCTGTGAATTGCTGATAGAGTTCTTGATTAGGAAACCATATTACAAACGTCAGGGATAAGGCAAGCTATGAATACAATGTAGAATATCCATTAATGGAGTCACCATTACACTGAATTAAGATAAATGACAGTGCTCATATTGTAAACATGACCAATTCCAACGTTATTTTAAGGCCCAATCTATTAACTTTGTCATATCTCAACTTTACGCCAACAGGTGAAGTCGTTATGTAGCAGGTCTCCGGTCAGTGACATGGGAAACTGCTCAGCCTTATGTTACTCCTAGAAGCCAGTCTGTCTCCTAGTCCCGCTCACCTTTGCAGGGGCCTTTTTAGGCTTGGGCTCTGGCTTTGGAGGAGCAGGTTTCTTTTATTCAGGAGAGAGAGAAAAACATCATTAGTATGAGGGACCAAAGAAAACCCAAACCAAACCACAGTACCACTGGCACGGAGGTTCCTATTTTGTAAAGTTTTTGTGGCTGGTTTTCCACTAGAATTTCCTATCTTCAGAAACCCACTCAAAACATTCTGAAGTGGCCCACTTTGGCTATAGCCAAAGAATATCAGAACCAGTAAATCTCAAATGGGTCAGAGTCCACAATAGATTAGGTCATTCTAAACCAGCCACTGATCATAATTCATGGGAAGCAAAAGGAATTGTTTTTCAATGCTTTTTAGTTTCAAGAATATGAAAATTCAAAAGCAGACACACTTACAGCAGATAACCTTGCAGATCTTCTCTGTGGCTATTAAAAAAAAAGTGAGAAAGTTAGAACTAGGACAGCTGAACCATTTAAGAAAAAAACAGAAATTTTGGTGCCAATTTATTCTAGATATAGGGAGTAAAGAGAGCTTACTTGGGCAAATTCAGGACTAGACCAATGGTTAATTACCACCAAAGGAGCCCAACGGTTTGTAAGACTCCGAAAGGAGAGAGAAAAAATTAGACTTACTTCGTCCTTCACCTTGGCTTTATCTCCTTTAGCATCCCCTTCAGCCTATTAAAAACAAACAAAAACTAAGGAAGTTGCATCTTCTGAGGCAATTCTTAATGATTCACTAAGCTTAACCCTAAGGAATTAAGGAGTCATAAGGGAAAAAACTGAAGGGGAAATCTTGCACACAACTTTTCTGGAACATACACATCATCAGTTCTTAGCACTCCCAGCTCCTATGCAAATACCCGAAGTGCTTAGAAAGCTGTGGGAGTGCTCATTTGTCTAATTGTCTAAGCCTCACGCCCGCTCTGGCCCAAAGCGCGCACGGAGGCTGGGAGTCTCCGCCGAGCGGCCCCGGGAAGCGCGCGCTAAGCCGCAGCGAGCAGCGCTGCCTGCGCCAGGCAGAAGCAACAGCTGCAGATGGTGCAAACAAACCCCTCCGGAGGCGGGGCCCGAGCGCCGTTGCCATGGCAGCCGTCGAGGGCGGGAGGCGGGAGGCGCGCGCAGCCGGGGGAACTCGTGGGCGACAGAGGCGCGCACCAGCGCGAGTCTCGTGCGCGGGGGCAGTGGGCGGAGGCGGAGCCACACCGTGAAGCCCCGCCCCAGGAACGGCCCCGCCCCCTCACGGCGGCAGTTTTTTTTTTGGCGGCAGCGCGTTCCCCCGCCCGCCAACCCCGAGCGCCGCCTTCCCGCCCTTTCGGGTTTGAATTGCCCGCTCGCGGGGAGGGGAGGGGGCATGCAGATGGGGGAGGGGGCGCGGGGCGGGCACGTCGAGCCCGAGGGGAGCGGAATAAACAGCCGCCAACATGGCTCCTCCCGCCGCGGCCGCCGCTCCTCCAATATGGCCTCTGGCGCCCGCGGGCAGCCGAACCGCATAGGGTTAGCCCGGGGCCGCCTGACACCACCTGGAACACCCGCGCCGAGCGGCTGAGCCTGCTCCAGCCCGGCACCGATCCTCGCGCCCGAAAGCCGGGGGAGCGACGGCGGCACCAGTAGCGGTGGTGGCAGCGGCAGTGGCGGCCCAGCGCCTGGGGCCTTCGCGCCACGTACCTTTCTCTTGGGCATGGTGGCGACGGCGGCGGGACGTTGGCGCTGGACGCGGGGATGCAGCGGCGCGCGGGCTTTGGTCGGCCCGGGGGTCGCTCTCGCCTCCTCCTCTTCACACTGCTCGGGCTCCGGGGGGTTTATAAAGTTTTTATAGCGCTGGGAGCCCCGGACCGGTTAGAACCGGATTTCACCTCCCGCCGCCGCTCATTGGCCCAGCTGGGGTCACGTGGGCGGGGTTTAAACTCACCTCCTCTGGAGGGAGTGAGGAGGGGGGTATGGGGGGAGGGTGCGCAAGACGGCGGCGCGCCTGGGGGTGGGGGCGCAGTGGGGCAGGCGCGCATCGAAGGCAATAAATGAGGTAGGGTGTGCGACTCGGCTGGCTCTGGGTTTCGGCTCCCGCCAAAGAGCTGGCTTTTGCAAACTACCAAGTTCCTTCCACCTTATGCAACCGGGCTACCCACTTCTCCAAGCCGTGCGACACTTAGGGCGCATCTCGGCCGCTTTCCTTCCTGTTCCTGCGGGGGCCCCAGAAGAAGGGTTTGCAAGGCCTGGTCGCACCGCCCTTCTCCGCCGGAGGCAGGAGAAAGCGCGCGGCTTGGAGGCACAGGCTGCAGTTCCCAGGGCCAAGGCTGACGCTGAAGTGGGGAAAGAGCGGGGAAGCCAGCTTGGCGCAGCCGGACGTGCGTCCTTCCAAGCTGCCACTCTGAGGAAGCCTTTCGTGCACCTCACTTGGAAGGCAGGCCACTCGAGGTGGGGTGGGGGCTCGAGGGGGAGACTTTACACGCAGAGGTGCCTTTCGGGTGCCGCGGGGCAGGTAGGAGCTGTCCTTTCAGCACCCTTTGCTCAGCCGCCTCCCCAAATGCCAACGAAGCCCCCCCAAAGCCTGTTAGGTGGCTCCCTTAGGTCTCTGTATCCCCAGACCTCAGGACACCGCCACAGGATGGAGCGGCCGTCAAGAAGGTCTACCGGCATTCCCCTCCCCCTACGCTCCACCCGCTTCGGAGACTTCAAGCTCAGCTGCCCCCACCCGATGCGGCCACCAAGCCTGGGCGCTGCAAACGCAGCTGGCGAAATCCCTCCTTCCACACGGGCAGCCTGGCTTCCTTTCACTTGCGCGAGGAAAAGGAGGTGGAGGGAAGCGTCCGGGGATTAGGAAACAAGCAGAGGAACAGGTGTTGCGATGGCAAAAGGGCTCTCCCAGTGGTTTCCCCACCCCACACGCCCCACAAGCTAGGGATCCTGGAGGTAGCCAAGCACACCTGAAGGAGGGTAGACAGTTGCAGCAGCAAAACAGATGTTCTTACGTTGCACTGTTAGCAAACAAGTTTTACACCTAAGAAAGAATTCTTAAAATTCTCTTTGACACCCAGGAGAACACAAAAACACGATAAATATCCTCAAGTCGGGGTTGGCTCACAGGTGGGAAGATATTTAGATAGGTCCCACCCAGTTTCTTGAGGCAAGGGTTGAAGCTGGGTTGTACAAATCATATCAATAGAAAGCGACCACAGTAAGTTCAGCTATTTGTAGCCCCTGCTCCTGGGTGGCCTGCAGTGGCCCCTCAGCCTCTGTCCACCCCTACAGGGCCTCCTGGGGCAGCCCCTCCCCACCCCACCCCACTGTGTACCTTTCCCAGAACACATGACCTCAGGCCAAAGAGAGATACCAGCCCCATTAATCACCTCTGCTGTACCCCAATCATATTAGGGAAAGTCAGACACAGAACGGAGACAGGACTCAACAGCCATGCTCACAGGGCAGATTCCGTTTGCTGCCTCCAGCCCCTCATTCCCGCCTTAATTGTAGGGCTCTGCATTATAGCCACATAATTCATGCCTCCCTAATTAAGGCTGTCAACAGCCCCATTGAAAAGCTGGAAAATGTACAGCACCTGCTCTCTGGGAACGCTTTGCCAGGGATTGGTAGTGGGGAGTGCCAGGTGTGTGTGGGGGCTTGCCAAAGTGCACACTGATTGGCTTCTCAATCGCAGTGTCTGGCATTTATGCTTGATTCTGGGAACAGGGATGATGGCCAAGGTATCTCTTGTGCCAGGTATTCAGGCACAGGAAGGGGAAGAGGAGACTGGAGTATAAGCAAGTTAGGGATTTAAAGAGTATGCTCTTACTACTGCTTGCAAGACCCTACCTCTCCCCTAGAGGGAGGTGCTGGGAAAGTCTGCAGAAAGTAAAATGCGAAGACCAAACAGTAGCATTTGGTTGGTATTCCCAGCCGGCACTTGCTGCTCAGGGACACCTGAAGCACAGAACTGCTCAGACAGACAGCCCATCAAAGGCACTAATCCTCTCAGCAGCTCTGCAGCGAGGCCTGGCAGGGAGAGGTAAGGGAAAGGACATGGCCCTTGATTTGGCCCTCTTCCTGCTGGGCAGCCTTGGCCCTCACAAGCTGAGACTTTGCCACGCTGAGAAGAAATTGTTTCAGGGCCCCCTTAGAGGGCCAGGTCAAAAAGCTGAGAGAAGCAGCCTCAAAGATTGAGGAGGTGGGAAGGAGTCTGAGATGATGAGGTGGGGAGGCCGAGTCAGCTGGGAGAAGCACTTGTTTCTGTGCTCCTGGTCCTGATGTGTTCCAGGGAAGGAGGCCTGTGCTGGATTAGATTCACCAGGGCCTACAGGCCCTTCAGTTTCCCTGTACCCATGGAGGGGACCAGTTTCACTGGGGAGTGGAACCTGGCCCCTTGCCCTGCAAGAGGAGCAGGAAAGCTTGTGTGGGCTGAGTCGACAATAGGTAATTGGATTGTAATCACCCGCCTGGCTTCTGAGCGCCATTGGGGGCGCTGAGCCTTTCAGTGAGCAATCAGCACTGCGTGGTGGGAGGGAGTAGAGATTCAATAGCAAATCCCAGGTGGAGAGCCAAGGGGGAGGAGCTGCAGATGGGCACATTTTCTTTCTGTGTCTCCCTCCCCTTCCTTGCCCAAATAATGCTGGCTGCCTATTAGCTATTTACCAGCAGATCCAAGGTGGAGCCAAATCTTTTGTGAAAGTTGGGTGGAAGGCTAAGATAGATGAGTACAGGGCGAGGGTTTTGGGGAGGGCTCTTCCCCTCAATTCTGTGTGTTGAAGGATGTGCTGGTGGAAAAAGAAAGTGCAGCTAGGAGCACAAGTAGAGGTGGCAAAGGCGGAAGGAGCAGGCAGCAGAAGAGCTGGGACCCCCTGCTCTCTGAACCTATTGGTGACCAGAGCTGGGTTTAGTGTACTTGTGGGAGACTCTCACCTCAACCCTCTCTAGGGGCCGCTGTCCCAGGCAGCCAAAAGGTATCTATGGCCAGCAGACCTGGCCTCTGGGGTTCCCCTGCCAAGCAAAGGGAACACAATTCATCAGGAGGGAGGTGCCTTTCACCAAGAAAAGAAAGAGGAGTGGGGCCCCGGAGGCAAAGGGCAGGGCAAAGTGACAGGACGCCAGCCTCCCTCAGGCTGATGCAGTGCCCAGACGTGCCAGCCAGTCAGCCTGCTTGAGTTCCAAGGCCTTCAGGAAGCCTTGGACCCGTTCTTCCCGTCTGGCTGAGAGTTTGTGCAAGCGTGTCCGTCGGAGCTGGGCATCCCCACTGGCCTGGAGCCCCTCTCGCAGCAGCTGCTCTGTCACTGCAGCCTGGTCCCTCTCCAGCTGCTGCCTCTTCCGCTCCTCTGCATACATGTCTCGGGCCTTCTGCTAAGAAAAATGGAGATTGGGGTGGGGAGATCATTTTTAGGTGTGGGTGGAACGGGGATGGAGGAGGTAGGGGGTAGGGCACAGGGTGGGCCAAATTAAGTGGAACAGTGGGGAGCTTGTACCAGATTTGGAAAGGTTTGGGGTAGGTGTGCGATGGGTGATGCCCATGTTGTAGAGACAGGGCAGTGGCAGTTCTGGCTCCATCTTGGTTTGTTTTGGGTGGGAGCCATCTGTGTTTCTTGAAATTCTTCTCAGGTTTGCACTTGGAAGGGAACCAGGCAAATGTGGGTCTGACTTCTGGTTCCCCCACCAACTAGCTTTGTGGCTTTGGGCAAATCCTCTCCTAACCTCATTTCTTCATCTGTAAAGTGGGGGTTGTGCCTACCTTGAAGAGTGGTTTTAAGGATTAGAGATAATATATGCAAAACCCTCTCTAGCAGGCTCTCAAAAAGAAACAGCATGGGCTGGGTTAGCAGTTAAGTGCGCGCGCTCCGCTACTGGCAGCCCGGGTTCGGATCCCGGGCGCGCACTGACCCACCGCTTCTCTGGCCATGCTGGGGCCGCGTCCCACGTACGGCAGCTGGAAGGATGTGCAGCTATGACATACAACTATCTACTGGGGCTTTGGGGGAAAAAAAAAGGAGGAGGATTGGCGATGGATGTTGGCTCAGAGCCGGTCTCCCTTGGCAAGGAGAGGAGGATTGGCATGGATGTTAGCTCAGGGCTGATCTTCCTCACAAAAAAATAAATAAATAAATAAAACTGTTTAAATAAATAATAATAATAAAAAAACCCCCAGCAATTTTACAAGTCATTACTATCTATTCTCTGCTGCAAGGAAGGTCCTATTCCTGCCTGGGGCATGCCCATCAGGTCATTTCCTTTGGTTTCCCAAGTCACTCTAAGGGTGCCATCCTCCCAACTCCCTAAGCAATTTTTCAGAATTTGGCTCCAGACTTGCCTCCTTTATGGAGACCAGCCTGATTCTTCTAGCAAATGACCCTACCATGAACATTCTGAGAAGCAGGTTCAGCTCTCTTAAGCCATTTACTGCATTCTGCCTAGTAGAATAGGTATTAGTGTCCATAGTCTACTTTTTATGTTAGAAAACAAGCCCTTGAATACTTGATAGAGCCCTCAGAGCTCCTGGAACCAGCTCTGACACTAGGTAGGTGACCACACTCACAGGCAGCACTTCTCACACCCTGTGTGTGTCTCCAAACCATGAACGCCTAGAGGGCAGAGACTGTGTGGGTTTCCTCTCTGGAACCTGGGGCACCCTGTACATGTGAAATACTCAATCGACTGACCATGTGATCCCAGGAGAGCAAGGAGGATGCTCCTGGCACAGGAGAGTGGAAATCCCTTTGGAGCAGAACGAAGGCCTTGCTGTGCCTCACTGATGCACTCTGCTCCTGCCACTCTAACTGGCCACAGAGCCTTTGTCCCAGAGCTCTCCTGCCAACTCTATTCCATGTGTGAGAATCTATGCTTTGCTGCTGACTTGGCATCCTATACCCTGATGACTCTTATCACATTCTACCTTGTATTAGGTATTTGTGTACATGTCTGTGTCTTAGCCTGCAGATCGCTGGATTGCTCTGTCTTCATCTTTTAAGGAATATCTTACATGTGCACAAGCACTTGACCCTCACAACAGAGCTAGGGAGGTACTTTCTACCTGTTGGAGACAGACATGGAGGTCAAAGCAGGAAAGTGGATTTGCAAAGGTCTCTCAGCAATAAAGGTTTACTGCATGAATAAAGATGACAAATGAAATTCCGGAATATCCCTCCTCTAGGCTCATGAATGATCCCAGGCATTCAAGGGTACTCTTCTGCTATGATAATGAGCTCACACATGGAGCTATGAAGACCAACACAGGCTTGAGCAGTTGCTGCTAAGGCTCTCCATGTTGCCAGAAGGGCTTCTTCCTGGCCTTGGTCAGGAGGAACCCTGGGTCCTATGAACAAGACCTTATAGGGCATGGAGATGCACAGGATATAGTCTCAGCAATCTACATGCTTACAGGCTGATTAGGACACAGATCTGTATACAAAGTCCCATAATACAAGGTAGAATGTAGTAAGAGTCATCAGGGAAGCAAGAGAAAGGGCCACGCAGCTCAGAGGAGAGAGAAATTACGGTTGATGAAGGCCAAGGAGCAGTGAAACCTCATGGACAGGCAATATTTGAGCTGGGCTTTAACCAGTGGGGGAGGATTTGAATAAAGGTGGGGTATATGGGGAGAGGAGAATATCAGGCAGTGGAAATAACGGGCAAAGACATATGAAATTGATTGAAGACCTTGATCAGGCCACAGTGAGTCCTTCTGGAGCACTGGGGTTTGAAAAGTTCCTGTCCAAAGGACTCCCTCACCTCTCTAGGCCTATTTCTTACTGTGCAACATGGGGATGATAGTATCCACCTCACTGGGTGGTTTAAGGAAAAATGAGACAAGGAATGCCCAGCCTGGTGCCTGGTTACTAAAGGTTAGCTATTCTTCTATCACCACCGCTGTGGCTAGGGCTAAGTAGGCTAAATTCTGGAAAAACAGAAAGGATGGGGACACTCAGCCACAGAGGGAGGAAATACAGAGCTAGTTAAAGTTGCTCCGTGAAGCTCAGGCTTCTTCCAAATGGCAGCCCCAGACTGAGTGTAGGCAGGGAGGCTGCAGCCAAGGCAGAGCCTGGCCCCTATGTGCCAGAAATCAGCGAATCACTTTTAGGATGACGGAGTCAAGGGAGCTCCTAAGGACCATCTGCTCCAGCCTCCTCACTTTAGACAAGGACACTGAAGCTGAGGCAGGAAGGGGACTTGGCCTAGGTCACACAGTGGGTTGAAGTTCCCTTGGTTTCTCCACTAAGGTGGCTTCTTGAGAGTCTACGGGAAATGTGTCTTGTGCCTCTGGATAAGCTATACTTTCTAGGGGTGGAGGGGGGAAACAGTGGCCTGCATCTGGATGCCTGTCTGTGCAGCCTCCACATGGTCTGGATCTACCTTCTCATATCAGAGGTGTTCTAAGTCTTCTCAGGTACTCAGCTTCAGAAAATCCAGGCTAACTGAAGTCCTAATGGTCAATTCCTCTCTTCCTGATCATTCTGTCTACTCTCCCTATATACTCTCCCTATATAATGACCAATCAGGGGTGAGGGTGTTAATACTTTCCTTAGACACTTCTTGTACAGACCTATGTGGTCTTGGTGCAAGGGCTCCATGGAGCTTGCTTGGAGAAATGGGGCTCTAACCTATTAATCTAAACCTTTCCTGGGCATTAAGCCTCTCTGCTCTTGTTCTCTCCTCAGCAGAATTAGGGAACAAGATGTAATAGCCCTTCTAACGCATAAATCCTCAAGTCCTCTACTACCTTGCTGGGGCCTGGAGAGAGGCTGCAGGTCTAGGGCTTCAAAACATTCATTAGCCAACGAAGAGTTCTCCCGTAAGGCCCCATGTGCTATGATCAACATGCTCAGGTCAACAGCATGAGCGATGCATATCTGAGGGATGCCTGAGACAGAGAGAGCACCTCCGGCTGGAAACATGATGTTCCAAAGTGCCCCCAGAGTCTCCCTGCTGGGGGAATTGTACTGGGGACAGGATGAGCAGAGTGCTACATGTCCATGGCTTTTCTGGAGACAGGAGAAGTCTGATGAAGAGCCCAGAGACACATGTGGGAAACAATACTGGCCACCATTCTCTGAAAATTAACTCTGTTCCAGCACCATGCTCAAGTGCTTTCCATGTATTAGCTTACCGAACCCTTATCAAAAACCTGTGAGGCAGGTATTATTATATTATTATATTATATTATTACTCCTCTCATTTTACAGATGAGGACAATGATACTCTGAAGGGTTAAGTAAGTGCCCAGTCAGTCACACAGCCAGTAGGCAGCGCCATGATTCAAAGGAAGGGATGTCTGAGACAACAGCTCAAGCTTCTAACTTCTCCTGAGAAGGCCGTGACTACCTGAAGAGCACTAGAAATAAAATGGTTGATTGATCTAGCCTGGTGTTTAATCTCTGACAAATGCATCAAAGGAAGTTTAGTGGGAACATGTAGCTTCTCCCTCTATAATATCATCGTCACAGATTTGGTGGACCAAACACTTACCACTGTGGTCTCTGTCAGTGACCCCCTCCTGGACCAACCATCCATGTAGCTTGTAACTGAGGACCAGTGGCTTGCACTGCTGCCTGCCCCTGCCCTGCCCTGATCTTCTATCTGTCCTCCTGCATCAGTCAAGATTCCCTCCCTTCGCCAGCCCCCATTCTCTAAGACTGATGGGTGACCACCTGGAGACTGTCATGGTCCCTTCAGATACCAAGGTCTAGCCCCAAACAACTTATAGCTGAGTCCCCGCTTCCCTTAGCATCTACCCGCTGCCCTCATCCCACTGAGCTACTCTAGGCCCAGAACCGAGCTCCCTGTCTTCTGCTCTGGCTTTCTGCAGGAACAGGGGCACACTGGGCTGGGCTTAAAGACAGAGCAGCTCAGATTTTAACAATGGGAATTCAGAAGATGGGCCAAGAGCACAGACACAGAGGTAGCAAACTGAAGGGTATGGGAATAAGGAACTGGGAAGGGTCTAGTTTGGTCATGATACAGGGCTCGTAAAAGGGAGACATTGGAAAGATCAGCTCTGGTCTGAGGCCGGACTGGCGAGGATATTGTTAGTCTGTAGTCTACCCTTAGTGCTTTGGCTGAGGTGCTAGGATTTCTAGAAACAGAGCTTTGAGGGCTCCTGGGTAGAGAAAGCCTGGCCAGGACTCCCAGGGGGCCTACTGAAGAAGCATTCAAGACTGTCAATATCTCTGCTATAACTTTGGTTTCCTTACTCTAAAAATGGGGGCAATAACAATAGTATCTACCTTATAGCTCTACATAGAATTTATGTAAAGGATGCCTGACAGGTGGTAAAAGCTCAATAGACATTTGCAATTATGATTCATAGGTACAAAAATGGAACTTTTTTTTTTTCTTTTGTGAGGCAGATCGGCCCTGAGCTAACATCTGCCAATCCTCCTCTTTTTGCTGAGGAAGACTGGCCCTGGGCTAACATCCATGCCCATCTTCCTCCACTTTATACGGGATGCCGCCACAGCATGGTTTGACAAGTGGTGTGTCAGTGCGCGCCTGGGATCTGAACCAGTGAACCCTGGGCCGCTGCAGCGGAGCACGCGCACTTAACTGCTTGCGCCACCGGGCTGGCCCCCAAAAATGGAACTCTTAATAGTTGTCCTCACACTTGTCCCACCTCATCCCAGGAAACAGCAGAACCACCCATCCAACTGCCCAGGCCAAAACCTAATGTCTTGGTTCCTAATAACATTAATATCTGTAGTCATTGGTTTTATCCTCCAGGATGCATAAAGGAGTTTCAGAATTACACCATTAACATTACCACTAACAATAAACCTCTTAAGTAATGTTTAAGTTTACTTTCCAGTTTGTATTATTTTTAAAGATTTTATTTATTTTATTTTTCCCCCCAAAGCCCCAGTGGATAGTTGTGTGTCGTAGCTGCACATCCTTCTAGTTGCTGTATGTGGGACTCGGCCTCAGGATGAACGGAGAAGTGGTGCCTCGATGCGCACCCGGGATCCGAACCCGGGCCACCAGCATCGCAGCGCGCGCACTTAACCACCAAGCCACAGGGCCGGCCCGTCCAGTTTGTATTATTTTTAGACTATATCCCACTAAAGAAATATAATCAGAGAACTGTGTTCAGCTAACTTGAATTAACTCCTTTCTCTGGGGGTTATATTATCGACTTAAAGTTAGATTCATTTGTTTCTGTTTTAACATTTGTTTTTCCCCCATCTTAGTCCATTCAGTCCTCCCCTTCCCTACAGCCACCACCCCACCTTGAGGAACAGCCTCTCACCTGGACTAATATAGGAGTTTGGTCTCTAACTCCTGCCCTCTGAAAATCCTGAGTGATTTTTGCAAAATATAAATCAGATTCTGTCATTCTGCTGATCAAAATTCTTCAGATGTGTCACCATGCCCTACAAGGCCCCAGACAATCAGAGGCTTTGCTCCTATGCAGCCTCGTCTTGTACTCTTCTCCTTCAGGCATGCTGGTCTCTTCTTTTGTTCTTCCAAGACCCAAACTTGATAAACAAGTATCCCTGCACTTGCTGCTCCTTTTTCGGAGAATTCTTTTCCCCCAGATTTTCATATGTCTGGCTACTTCTCATTTTTTATATCATAGCTGAAAAATCACCTCCTCAGAGAGGACTTCCTTGACTGCCCTACTCGGTACCTCTCGCTCTCTTCATTACTTTCTAGCACATCACTTTATTTTCTTCATTGCTTTATAACAATCTGAAACTATTTATTTGTTTACTTGTTCATTATCTAGCTCCTCAAGTAAGAACATAAACTCCATGAAGGTAGAGATCTCGTCTGACCAGCTAACTGCTGAATCTCCTGTGCCTAATATAGTGTCTGACTCATGCTAGGTACTCAGTAAATATTTATGGAATGAAAGAAGGCCATGGGGGAAAGTATCTGAGAAACCTGAAATTACTATAAAAGGCTTCTGAGCAGCCAAATTAGAGATAAGAATATCCATACACAAACGCTTATGCACCAATATCCTCTGGGCTTCATGCAGAGCCACTTTACTCTGACTTTACAGACATAATTCCAACAAATTTGATTGACTGGTTTCCTTGCCTGTAGCTGATTTAAAACAGTAAACAGGAAGAGAAGGGAAGGTGGGATGCTGTCAAAATTAGCCAGGAAATTTAGTAAGAAATGAGCGGGAAGACACAAAAAATATGCAAGAGATCCTAAAGCCAAGTATTTTGGGACGAGCTTAGAGCAAACAGTCCCACCCATCAAGGGCATTGCTGTACAGTGAAGTGCTTAAAGAAGGCAGTTACTATTATCATTAGAATGTGATTTTTCTAATCATCACCTTAATAGCAAGTGCCTGGTATATAGTAGGTGTCAATACATTTTGTACAAGACACATTTCAGAAAGTTTTATATCGAAAAAGGACAAAAAAGTTTTAGTTCTTAAAGGGGGGCCTTTGGTCATGTGGAAAAATGTGATATTCATTCCTCATGGATGGTGGATAATTGAGACTTTGCTGTTTTTCCTTTTACTTGAACACAACTTCCTTTTTCAATTTCCTCATATTCTGAGACTAAATGATCAAGCACATGACCAAACCTTCACGGTTTGATTGACATATTCCAGGATTTCTGGACTTGAGATTCCTGGTCAGATTTCAGGGGTTATATGAAGTCCCTGGAAGTAGTCTATGTGTTTCAGTGATAAGTGCAATTCTCTGCAGAATGCCAAGTGTTAGAATAATCTGTGCAATTTTTCTAGGTAGATAGTCTATGGCTTTCATCAGAATCTTCAACAGGTCCTCGATGCCAAGGGGACTGAGAAGCCCTGACTTGTATCATTATTTCCTCTTGGCCAATATCTCTCCAGACTCAAGAAGCAGCACCAACTTTGGGTTTAAAATACTGTGGCCTTGGGACAGTTACTCTGCCCCTGTTTCCATATCTGAAAAATGAGACACCAAACTTGCTGGACTGTTGGAAGGGTTAAATAAGAAAAACTTACATGAAAACACCTAAGTGCCTTAGGAGACCCTAAGCTGCCACCACCACACACACCGCCATTATTCTTGAGTCCTAATCAGATGCAGGTGACTCTACCTCCTAATGCAACCTGTTTCAAGATGTGGTGATCAAAATTGAAAGTAGAACTTCAAGTCTTGGCAGAGCATAGTTTTATACAATAGAAAGACAGTGCTATTTTGTTCTTAATCCCTTCTGGAAGAGGCTTGGATTTTGTACACTTCCACTTCTACAATCTTTTATTAGGTTAATACCGTCAGAGAATAATGGCCAATCTCTCTGAGAAGCCTTTCCTGGGTTTCCATAGTAAAGAGATTCAAGTCTTGTACCTTGAATCCCAGTTCTGTCTCTTTTTGGTTATGTGTCCTTAACCAAATAATTTCTATTTATTCACTTATACAGATGGGGCTAATAATACCTACCTCATTGGGTTCTTGGGAGCATTAAATGAGATAGTGCATATAAAATGTCCACAGTGCCTGACACATAGTAAATACTCAGTAAGTGGTAGCTACTATCATCATCATTAACAAGCTTATTAGCAAGTGCCGGGTATATATAGTAGGTGGTAAATCAACGCTGACCTCTTTTTCTATCCTATCTCATCAGGCCGGCACTGAACTCTTACCTGAAGCATGCTATGGTTCATCTGGAACTGCAGGATGGCCTCACAGAGGTTCCAAAATGTGTATTCTGGCCACAGAACGGGTTGGAACACCAGGCAGGAGTGGGAGGTCTGGGAAAGGTGAAGAGGAAGAGGGTATGGTTTAGTAACACGTTGCTGGAACACAACCCTGGGTAGGCTCCTCCTTTGGAGCAGGCTGAGCAGGACCCAGAAGTCCAGAGATGAGATGGAAAGGCACCCTGAGCTGCAGCTGCTGCTGCCAGCCCTGATTCACTCCCTAGTAGGGGGAGGGGTCATCTGAGGCAGTTAGATCACCTGCCTGTAACAAGGCAGAACTAAACCGAGACTAGATCAACATTTCCACCAGGATTTTTCTAAGAGCCAATTTTAGGACTATGAAATAACATCTGGATTATGTTATTGGCTCCTGGCCCTTAGAGGTCATCTGGGAGACACACTGTCTGATAAAAGTCAGCAATGAACAAATGGTAGCTGCCATTGTTATTTTTAAGTAGCAGAGTATGGCACAGTGGTTAAGAGCATGGGCTCTGGGGCCAGACTGCCTGGCTTTGAATTTTCGCTCCAGCATTTACCATCTGTTTGACCTGAGGCAAATTACTTAACTGCTCTGGGCCTCAGTTTCCTCAACTGTAAGATTAGGTAATAAGAACACCTAGTTTTTAGAGTATTATGAAAATTAAACAAGATAATGTATATAAACAGTCAGAGGACAGAGTTGGGTCCACTTTAATAATAATCACTGATGTAAGAATCTCTTTTGGAACATTCTTGACAGCCATTGCTTGATACCTTTAGTAGTAAGGAATTCAGTGCCTCAACAAGGATAACTTTAGTTGTCAGATAGCTTGTTATGCTAAACCAATGTCACCTTCCCTGGAACTTCCACCAAGGTCTCAGGTCTTTTCTCTGGAATGAGTTTGTTTCTTCTTCAAACTGACATTCTTTCAAATATTTGAAGGCTAGATTAGAGCTGCCTGTTATCTGTTCCTAAGGTTGTAATGACTTGTTCAGTTTGTCTTTGCCAACAAACTATAAATTTTAAGACAGTAGGGATTATTTCTAACTTGGTCACTGCCATATTCCCACCACAGAGGAGGAACTCAGTTTTTTTTCCGAGAGAATAAACTGTCACCATGCTTCCCTTTTCCAGAGCACTATCCTTCACTCACTCCTTACAGGACATGAGTTCTAGATTCCTTGCCATCCAAGTTGGCCTCTTCTGGTAAGTTCTCTAGTTTACCAATGTAGTCTCTTAAAACTCAGTGCTCAGAAGTAAACCTTCCAGGCATGATCTGACCCGCAGAGTGGGCCACTGAAGCATAAACTGCACATTATACTTCTTTGATTAGAGCCAAAGACTGAAAGTATCTTTAGTAGCAAAATCTTGTTAGTTCACTTTTAAGACTATGGTCTATTAAAATTTCTGGAACTTTATCACGTGAATTGCTTCCAAGCTGAGTCTCTACCTCCAACCTCTCCTTGAACAAGGATTTCCCCCAGTCATGTGCTACCCAGGGGCCAAGTTAACAGATAATGGAGATTTTCAAGCAAAGACAAACTTATTTGGATATGAGCTTTAGGAAGACTACCCTCACTGGGATACCTGAGCTGAGAGGCAATGGCAGGCCCCTAAGAAAGAGTCTGCATATAGGTTATATCCCTTGTGGACTGTGCATAGATGCGGCCCTCTATTCTGGAGGAGAGACTGGTAACTGCAAGGCAAGGGTTGAGCCCAGAGGTGCTAGGGTACCTGGCAGGTTATCAGGGCAGGAACTTACGCTCAGGGACACAAGGCAGAAGTCCAGGTCCTTGAACAGGGGCACAAGTGAAGTTTTCACCACAGCTGGATAGCTTTGATTTTTCCTCTAGGCACTTTAGACAGCAAGAACCACACAGGTTCGCAAAGCCAGGGACAGATGAGGAAGGGACAGCAAACGTTACCAGGCACAGTCTGGAGACATTTCTCCAGATTTTAGCTTCCCAACATCCACCCCCAAGTTTTCTGGTGCCAGCATGGCTGGGAGTGGGGAAGAGCTCCTCTAATCCATTCTGCGGGTGCAGTCGCAGTTTTCAGGGTGACAAAGAGAGCAGTGGTTAGAAACTACTTACCTGCCAGAGCAGGAAGTCGCTGAGCCTCACTTCCCCAGAAGTTCGTATCAAGATGTCAGGATGAGGAGAGTGGTTGGTATAGAGGCATTTATCGAGCAGAGACTCAGAGACATCACTAAGGTGAGTGGGGAAGAGACGAAGATAAGCACACGTCTCTTTGGATTATTCTCATGGTGAACTTCCTTACATAAAGCTTCCCAGTTTATAGAACGCCATCAAATACATTAGCCAATATGACCTGGTATGCAGAAGGCCGTCAACAAATGCTTGATAAATTAATGAATGATTTTAATTCTCACAACTACATGAGGTACTTTTATCCTCACGTTATAGATAAGGTAACTGAGGCTCACAAAAGATGAGTAATTTGCCCAAAGTCATTCAGCTGCAGGCCTAATACCAGATGCACCCACTACAATATGTGTTGTCCTTCACTTAAAACACCTTGTTTTTTTTTATTTTATTTTATTTTTTTTGTGAGGAAGATCAGCCTTGAGCTAACATCCGTGCTAATCCTCCTCTTTTTGCTGAGGAAGACCGGCTCTGAGCTAACATCTATTGCCAATCCTCCTTGTTTTTTTTTTTTTTCCCCTCCCAAAGCCCCAGTCTTTGTCATAGCTGCACATCCTTCTAGTTGCTGTATGTGGGATGCGGCCTCAGCACGGCTGGAGAAGCGGTGCGTCAGTGCGCGCCCGGGATCTGAACCCAGGTCGCCAGTAGTGGAGCGCGCGCACTTAACCGCTAAGCCACGGGGCTGGCCCAAAACATCTTGTTTTTAAATGCATATGCCCTATGACCCTGCAATCTGATGAAATACTATGGATCTGTTTTTTTTTTTTTTTTTTTTTAAAGATTTTATTTATTTTATTTTTTCCCCCCAAAGCCCCAGTGGATAGTTGTATGTCGTAGCTGCACATCCTTCTAGTTGCTGTATGCGGGACTCGGCCTCAGGATGAACGGAGAAGTGGTGCCTCGATGCGCACCCGGGATCCGAACCCGGGCCACCAGCATCGCAGCGCGTGCACTTAACCACCAAGCCACAGGGCCGGCCCTATGCATCTGTTTCTAATAAAGATAAATCTAAATGCACTGATTTGGAAAGATGTCTAAGATCTAATATTAAATGAGAAAAGCAAGTTTCAGAAAACATACAGTGTGGAAAATACACACACTCTCAAACACTCACACATGTGAACATATGTATATATAAACAAAGAACAAAGTCTAGAAAGGCACACACCATACAACTCACAGTTATTACCTCTGGAAGGTTGGATAAGAAGGAAAGACTAGCTCTTTTTACTTTACATATTTCTGTTATTGTTTGAATTTATTATACAGAACATTTTTTAAACCTTAAATTTAAGTCATATGGACCCTGAAACGCTGCAAAAAATCCACATTACTTAGGATTTAAAAAAACAGCAAAATGATCAGCCCTCCTGTTTTTGGTAAGAGCTACTTTCCCAAGCAGACAGATACTCAGACAGGAGTCAGAACGGAGGAAGAATGGGGACTGGCAGCATTTATCTGAAGTAAAACTTTCCTGTCCATGGAAGGAAAGTATTTGTAAGGCTGGTGTCTGTCGATTCCAAGAACACTGTTTACCTTTCCTATCAAGTACCCAGAGGCAGAATTTTGAATCTCCAAATGGTAAGAACTGCATCTTGGGAAGGGTCTAGAAGACAAAATTTCTTGGTGGAATATTCTTCTAGAAGCATAGTAAAAAGAGCAGAGAGATCTGGGCTGAGTGTTCAAAATAAGACTCTACACTTTCTAGCTGTGTGCCTTTGAGTAAGTTACTCCATGTCTCAGTCATCTTTTTGCAAACCACAGAGGGAGCTTTCTTTTCTCTACCATCACATGGGAAACAACATTCACTTATGACTGGGCAATAGAAAGGGTTGTGGTTCAGATTCCCCCCTGATAATCTGACAGTCTTGTCTCGGCAGCATGCTCTTAATTCTCTAATTGAGAAATGTGAGACCCTGTACAGTCAACATATTTTCTCAGCTTTCTTATCTTTGAAATGTGCACATTTGTCCTATCTATTTATAGGTTATTCTAAGGGTCAAATCAAATGAAACAACAGATTTGAGTGTACCTTGGGAACTATAAACAAAAAAGAACAAACATTATTTCTAGTCCCACCACTTTGCTAAGTGACTTCAGATTGCCACTTAATTTCTGAGTGTCAAATGTGTCTGCAAGAAGTTTGTTCTACCTACTTCTGGCAGTGGGCAGAATTCTTATCAAAAAGTAGGTAACTCTAAGGAGGGAAAGATAAAACTGACAAAATGAAAACTGAACATCTGTGCTTTGGCCAGCTAAAATCCACCACTAAACAGCACTAGCTGTCTACATCAAGACTTTTAAGAAATAATTTCTATGAAATAAAAGTAAAATACTAATTTTCACCTAAAATTATAGTTTACACTAAAAAAAAATCTTGGCAGGGGCCGGCCCCATAGCATAGCTGTTAAGTGCACGCGCTCCGCTGCTGGCGGCCCGGGGTTTGGATCCTGGGCACGCACTGACGCACCTCTTGTTAGGCCATGCTGTGGCAGCGTCCCATATAAAGTAGAGGAAGATAGGCACAGATGTTAGCCCAGGGCCAGTCTTCCTCAGCAAAAAGAGGAGGATAGGCATGGATGTTAGCTCAGGACTGATCTTCCTCACACACACACACAAAAAATCTTGGCAAGAATAAGGTGAAATGGACACATCCAGACCCAGATCCTGAGGAAATAATCCAAAATGCAGACAAGAGTTAAGCTCATAGGTTTCACTGTATCATTATTTGTAATAATAACAAATTGGAAACAGCCTAATAACCAACAAATAGCAGAATAAATAAATTAAAGCAAGATATATTCTGCAGCCATTAAAAATAATGATATGAAGAATTATTAAAAACATGGGACATGGAAGAGTGCTCATATTATAATATTAAGTGAACAAAGCATGATTCAGGTTGTAAACTATTCATAGTGCAATTTCTTCTGTTATAAATATTTATGTCATATTTGGATTTGTGTTCTAAAAAGATGACTCTGGCTGACTCCCAACCATAGCTGATCATTACTTTTGTCAGCATCAGCTCTGTGCCCTGCACATCCATTACTGCACTCCACAGCACCATGGATTACTTATTTGTGTATTTGATCAGATTGTGAGCTGCTTGGGGACAAGCCCCTTGACACACTCATCTCTGTACTCCTGCTCTTCCAGCACAGGACCTTCCTGGGACAGAGCAAGACTCAATACGCATTTGAATAAATGCATGAATGAATCATTGAAAACAATCTCAGAAATAAACACATATTGGTTTTCTGAAATGTGAGGAGCTTAGAGGCTAAAAAAAGCATTTGACAATGTACTTTCAAACAACCTAGAGGCCAAAAACAGGTAACAGATATTGTTACAACTTGATGGGAAAAATCAATAGTTAATTAAACACACACACACACACATACATAAACACAAAAGAAGAGCTAGAAGAAAATACTTACAACGCTACCAAGGGTTTTGCTGAGGGTGGGATCTTGAGAGATTCAAATGTTCATCTTTATACATCCAGTAGTTTGCAAATTTTCTCTAATGAATATGTATGACCTTTATAATTATAAAAGTATGTGTGCATTGGGGGGGTTGTATTCTTTCTAAAAGAAGTATTTTTGTTTGGGATAAGGAAAAAGTTCTGGAAATAGTGGTGATGATTATACAACACTGAGAATATACTTTATGCCACTAAATTGTACACTTAAAAATGGTTAAAATAGTAAAATTTATGTTATATATGTCTTATCACATAAGCCAGCCCGAGTGGTCTAGTGGTTAAAATTTGGCCACTGGGGCCTGGGTTAGTTTCCCGGTCAGGGAACCACATCACCCATCTGTTGGTTGTCATACTGTGGTGGCTGCATGTTGCTGTGATGCTGAAAGCTACGCCACCAGTATTTCAAATGCCAGCGGGGTCACCCATGGTGGAGAGGTTGCAGTGGAGCTTCCGGACTAGGAAGAAGGACCTGGCCATCCACTTCCAAAAAAACTGGCTATGAAAACCCTATGAATAGCAGCGGAGTATTGTCTGATATAGCGCTGGAAGATGAGAGGCTGGCCCAGAAAGACTGGGCAGGGTTCCCCTCTGCTGTACACAGAGGCGCTAGGAGACAGAATCAACTCAACGGCACTAACAACAAATATAAAAATTTCAAGAAAAAGTAGAAAATCTTCTGGAAGGATATGGGCACAAGTATTCAACAAGATAATGGCTCCTTCTTAATAGACTATGTATTTCAGGAAATGGCCAACCTAAAATTAAATCAATTTAAAACCAACAATGGAGATATGGCAACAGCTTCTGGAAGGGAGACTTGGCAACAGTGACTATCAACAAGACAGTGAATAGCCTGGCATCAGGAAAAAGGAAGAAGAGTAAGAACGTGTTAGTGTGTTCCCAGTACCATTCGAGAAAGGCAGACCCTTTCTAGAAGGTACAAAGATAAGGTACAGAGACAGAAATGTGCCCAGTGATAACAACACGGCACATTTCTCTCGTATTTATTTTTTTAATTTTTATTTTTTTGCTGAGGAAGATGTGCCCTGAGCTAACATCTGTGCCAATCTTCCTCTATTTTGTATGTGGGTCACCACCACAGCATGGCTGCCGACGAGTGGTGTAGATCTGTGCCTGGGACCCGAACCCCGGCCACTGAAGTAGAGCGTGCCAAACTTAACCACTAGGCCATGGGGCTGGCCCTCTAGCATTTAATTTATAAAGAAGATGGTGAAGAACACAAGCTTTGGAGGTAGACGGACCTAAGCTGGAGTCCAAGCTGTTCCACTTAGTTGTGTATGTGACTTTGGGCAGGTCAATTAACCTTTTAAAAACTCATTTAATTGGTCTTATAAAACAGGGCAAATAATATTCACTATCTTATATGAAAATTAAATGAGAATATATGTGATAAACTCTTAGCCTAGTGCCTGCTTCATAAGATCCAATAAATATTAGTTATTAAGTTTTATTTTTATACCTCCTTATTTTTCATTTCAACCTTCCTATATGGCAGTCAGTATACCATAGTGAATGAGAGCACAGGCTCTAGAGCCAGGTTGAAATCCTGGCCCCAGGCTTTGCCAACTATGTGAACTTGGACAAGCTACTTAACTTCTCTGTGTCTCAGTATTCTCATCTTTAAAATGGGGATAAAAACAGTATCCATCATTGGGTCTGTCTAAGGATTAAATGAAATAATGTACATAGAGTACTTAGCAAATGCCTGGCAAAGAATAAATGCTCAGTAAACATTAGCAATTATTAATCTTAACACTATTGTTTTAAGAGGAAGACAGAGGCCTACAGGGGGTCAAGTGACCTGCTCAAGGTGATTCAGTGAAAGAGAGTTTATTAAATATCCTTTATTGGGCTGGCCCCGTGGCTTAGCGGTTAAGTGTGCGCTCTCTGATGCTGGTGGCCCAGGTTCGGATCCTGGGCGCGCACCGACGCACCGCTTCTCCGGCCACATGGCCGCGTCCCACATACAGCAACTGGAAGGATGTGCAACTATGACATACAACTATCTACTGGGGCTTTGGGAGGAAAATAAATAAATAAATCTTAAAAAAAAAAAAAATTTAAAAATAAATATCCTTTATGCTCAACCTAATCCCTTTTCTATAATTCCAGACTCAAAAAACAATCTATTAATACAATTGTTAGAAAAAAATAAACCACGAAGAAAGGAAAATTAGGAGTTGGATGGTGGTGATAAGAGAACAGAAAAATTCCAGCTACTGGATGGGTAGAACCTAATTGTAATTAACTCATTGGCTCCCTGTTATAAATGCATATATGTCTAAATTTGAATAATGTAAAGAGCACCACCTCAGGCCCTGATTAGCCCACTCTGAGCTGAACACTAAGCTTCCTGAGCTTGTGGGTTGAGACATCAGCCTCCTTACCCTGGTGACCCTGCCCAGCCCATGCCATGTCTGCATGACTGACCCCACAAAGGCATGTTACTAAACCATGCAGGGCAGAGAAAATGGATATGGGAAAACTTGCTGGGCAAGAAGCAGAAGGTAAACGTCAGTGGTTATTGCAATGTGGTATGAGCATAAAGCACGCTGACCTAGGAGTCAAGATCAGAGTTCTAGTCATGAATGCATATTAAATCTGCTCGCTAAATAGCTTTCTTTCTTTCTAGCATGAACATTTGTCCCTTACTATTTTTAGTATATTATTTCATTCCTACAAAGATTAAATGAAACATTAATTGTAAAGCACAATAACATAATGAACAACTATGAAATCACCCCCCAAGCCAAGAATCAGAAAAGAGCAATAACTTACATCTACTCATACATCCCTCATCTACTTATATATCTCATCTTCCTGCCTGGCTCCGACCCCACCAACTTAACCAGTATCTTAACTTTTTCCCCAACAGTTAATTTTCAAGCCACATCTTAACTGACCTCTCTACAGCATTTGACACTTGCTCCCACAGTGCCCATGTCCGTCCTGGCCTACACCAACAAATTCCCTCTTTTCTTAGCTTCTGTAACACTGACTGCCTGGTTTTCTTCCTACCTTTCTGGTTGTTCAGTCTATTTTTTCCTTAAGGTTCATTCTCCTCTACCCAGCCAGTAAAACTTAGTTTCTCAAAACTCCAACCCAGGCCCTCTCTTCTTCTCATTCTTGACTCCCCTCAGCTTCCTCATGCCTTCTCTTTGCTTCACTTACTACCTACACACAGATGACCTCCACCCTGAAGTCTCCGGTCCCCACCTCTCCTCTCAACTGTTGACCTGACATCTATGTTCAACATCTACCGTATATCCCAAACCAAACTCCTGACCTTCTTCCTCAAATTAGATTCTCTCAGGGTTCCCTGGCACAGTGAAAGGCGCCACCATCCACTGTTTTATAAGTCAAAAACCCTGGAGTCACCCTTAACACATCCTTTTCCCAGGGCCAGTCCATCAAGTCCTCTCGATTTTATCTACTTCATAGCTCTCAATGCAGTCTGTTCAATCTATTCCACCACCATAATCCAAGCTTCCTTCCAGGTACTTTACTTGAATTACTCCAACAGTCTTTCTGCAACCAATAAGCTCCTGGCACCACTGCCTCCTTCCCCAGTTACTACTTATTCTTCCTTTTTAGGGCACTTATCATTTCCTTGGGGGAGCCTTCCCTACTAGGTCTAGTCCTCTTATTATAAATTCTTGTTGTACCATGCACCAATGCCTTTATAGCATTTATCACCATTATAATTTTATGCTAATTTGTATAATCTTGATTAATGTCTGTTTTCCTTACCAGAGTTCCAAGAGAGCAGGAAATATATATTTCTATTCTTACCACTGTATCCCCTATGTACAGCAATGTGCCTGGCCTTCAGTTGGCACTTAAAAAATATTTGTTGAATGAATGAATAAACTATGTGGCACAGAAAGATCACCGAGCTGTTGGCAAAGAGAGGGATTCATAAAATAGCCTTAAAAACTTTCCCTTTTTCTTCTTATCTAATTCCATTCTCATTGAGCAACTTCTTGATTTTTAATTTAGTTTCTAGGTAAACTGAATTATACCCAAGAAGGGAATCAGAAAAATTCCTGAGTCCCAAGATCTCATATAGAGGTAAGGGACAGGAACTCTGGAATCACACAGCTTTAGATACGAGTCCCAGCTCCAGCACTTATGAGCAGAATGACCTTGGGAAAGTCACTTCAATGCTGGGTTCAGTTTTCTCATCTATGAAATGGAGAAAAGACTTGAATCTCTCACAAATGAGATTAATAATTTAATAAAATACAGAACATAACACACTGCCTGGGTTATTTTTGCTACTATTATTTTACTATTGCTATTATTAGTGTACTAATATTATTACCAAAGGTTACACTAATAACAACATGAGAAGGAGTGAGTAGATACCTGGCTTCTAAAGAACAGTTTTCCTTTTGAAAAATACCTGAATCTTGCATGAAACTCTAATATGAGAGACCTAAAGGACTATACCCCCAACAAGCTGCAGTCTTGAAAAATCATTCTTGGAAAAACATGCCACAGGGCCAGGAGGACATCATTTTTTATTGAATGCCACAGCCTTGCTACCTGCTATGCTGTTTTCTTGGGGCTTCTTGGTGTGCGGTGAATTTCTTCAGAGAAATTCTGAAGCAGGCTATAATAAGCCAATCCTAAGCTCTAAGCGTGGGGGATCATCCCGCCAAATCTTTCCATATGCATCCCTGATTTGACTTCAAGTCAAGACCAAGTACATGGCTTAGGAGGGGCTTTATGGTTTGGCACACGCTTGTTTTCCCTATCAGTTACCACGTTAACAGCTAGGGATACCTGGGGTCCAGCAGGCCTTGCTCCACTCCCCAGGCCATCTCTCTCACAGCATTGCTGATCTCGTGACGGGACGTGTATGCAAAGCAGACATTCAGGAAACACCTGAGAAGAGGAGAAGAGAATAATGTACCAAAGGAGGACAGGGACGAAGGACCGGCGTCACTGATTACAGAGCACCCCACCCCTTCGCTGGAAGAACAAACACACACCAAATGTTAACCACAGAAACCTCTGAAAGGTGAGATCATCAATTTTTTGTGTTTTCCAGGTTTTCTTGGAATAAACATGTTATTAGTTTTGTAATAACATGAACACTAAATGACCCTTATTACCCTCCTAACCTTCTCCCCTTCTACTACCAACCAGCTTTCAGAGGACGTGAATCCACTGTGATATTAGCACGAGCAAAGGAGAAGAGGAAGGAAATTTGATGCAAAACGCATCTACTGTCAAACATATATTATATTCCAAAGCCACACAAAATGAAGTTTGGACCATTGAACTCTGTTCCTTTGCAGATGCATGACCTCCCAAGGTCATCCTACTCAGGTTAAAGGAGTGGGACAGAAAAGAATTTCTTAAAGGATCTGTCTTCAGAGACAGAGATAAGGCCTGCTTCATTCCCACTCCATACCCTGTCAAGTAAAAAAAAAAAAAAAAAACAAGGGGCTGGCCCGGTGGCGCAAGCGATTAAGGGCAGCCCGGGGTTCGCCGGTTCGGATCCCGGGCGCGCACCGACGCACTGCTTGTCAGGCCATGCTGTGGCGGCATCCCATATAAAGTGGAGGAAGATGGGCATGGATGTTAGCCCAGGGCCAGTCTTCCTCAGCAAAAAGGAGGAGGATTGGCAGATGTTAGCTCAGGGCTGATCTTCCTCACAAAACAAAACAAAGTATGTGTGTGTGTGTGTGCGTGTGTATACACACATATTTCTTTACAGGGGGAGGTAGGCACATGAAGGAGGACGAGAAACTGTATGTGTGACTATACACACATATAATAGGGTATTGCAGAACCATCTCTGGTCTGCCCTGCAGCTGGAGGAAGTCTCTAAGCATCCCACACCACCCCTTCATTGCCTCTTGTACAAAATGCAGACCAAGGAAGGCCCAGGATGTCTCCCTAAAGCTAGCAGGGAGTCAAAGATGGATATAGGTCCTTAAGAGGAAATTTGAAAACTTACTTGTTGTAATTCTTGGTGGCCTGCACAGCTTGTGCAATCAGCTCCTGGAGATCCAAGGGCAACAAATGCAGATCACCCAGGACCCGGATGCATACCCCATGCTTCTGCAGTTTCTCCCTGAGCCGGGGAAAGGAGACGGAGCACCTACTGAGCTGGAGAGCTGATAACACTTAACTACCAGTTTGTGAGCGCTTTCCTGTGTGTCAGGCACTGCTCTACGTGTATTAGTGCACTGCATTCCCTCAACAACTCTGAAAGGAGTTCACTACAATCCTCATTCTACAGGGGGAAACTGAGGCTCAGACAGGGACTGCCCAAGGTCACAGCCATAAGTGCTGAGTCAGAACTGAAACCCAGGTCCATCTGACCTGAGAACGCAAACTCTTCACCACACATTTCACCACCTCATGGGTCCTTGTGGGCAAGCTGCATTTTACGTATTCTGTGCTGTTTGTCCCATGTTGACAAATGAATAAACATTATTGGTTACTTTTGTATCTTCTGGTGAAATATGATAATAATGGCGACATGTAACATTAATTATATGTTTACTAAGTGCCAGACATTGGTCTAAGTACTTTACCTGCATCAACACACTCCATCCTTACACCAACCTTTGAGGCAAACACCATTATCATTCCCCTTTTACAGACGAGGAAACTGAGGCACAGGGAGGTTAGGTAATTTGGTCAAGATCAGACAGTTGGTGAACGGAAAGCCAGAATTTGAACCCAGGGAGTCTGGTTCCAGAGCTGTCCCTTTAATCATGACATTATACGGCTTCCATACAGTAACCCCCAAACCCTGCACAGTGAGCATGGATTCACTGTTACCCAACCAGCTTCTCTCACCTGAGAATGCTATGGAGAAACTGAACAACTAATGTTTGGAAACTGGGACCTTAATAACAAGAAGTATACTGTAGGGTAGGGGTATCCAGTAGGTCCTGAGAACTCTGAGCCAGAGCTGAAGGCCATATCCACAGCCTATCCACTCTATAACCCTCAACCATATTTCTTCAAGGGTGAAGCAAGACCTAACCAACCGCTTATTTTTGAGAACCTGCTGGAGCTACAATAGACAAAGTATACTTAAATCAAGGCAAAATTTGAATAAGAATATCTAGATTCAAGTCCTAGTGCCACCACTTACTAGCTGACCTTATATAACCACTCCGTCTTTCTGAGCCTCAGTTTTCGTCCCCCTGTAACCTGGGGGTGATAACCATCCTTGCCATTCTATCTGCACTGGCTTGTGTTGAGTGAGATAAAATAGGTGAAAGTGCTTATTCTCAGACATCAGGCTCGTGACTGAAGTGAAGTCTACACAGAAAGAACTGCAAAAGCCCTGGCAAGCAGCCAGGAGATCTGGGTTCCCAACCTGGCACTGCCACTAGCTTGTTGTACGACCATGGGCAAGCCTTTCTCTTTTCTTCAATAGGGTTTAGTTTCCCAACTGATGAAACTGACTCGGCCAGTGGTTTTCCGACCTTCTTTCAACCAAAGAATTCTTTCTTCAAATCAAATCTTAAACAGAAGCCCAATATATAAAATAGATAAATGCAAACCAGCACCCTATACCCCATTCCCTCTGGGTTCTTTGCATGCCCACTCCTCAGAACTCTGTGGTTCTGTGGCACATTGTTGGAAAACCACTGCTAAGGTTTCTTCTTGCTCTGTCCAGGACTTTGTAACATAAGACCGTTTTCTCTACTACTGACTGATGAGAGCAATCTCAATAGCACCTCTACTGCCATGCATTTTGATCTTTCAGTAACTGTAAGATTACTCCCTGTTTCCTAGAGTACAGTGTAGTAGACAACAGCTCAGCTCTGTAGTCCTAAAGATCCTGCCTTGGCTTTGCCTGTCTGATAGCTGTGTGACCCAGGATACACACCTAAGTTTCTCTGGTTTTTATTTTCCTCCTCTCTACAACTGAGATATCTTTCTCACAGGATAATGTAACTATTAAATGAGAATACATGTTAGGCTCAGGGCCTGGCACATAGTATAAGCACTGTAAAAAGGTAAGATTAGTGTGAGTTACAGAAGAATTTGAACGCCTGCAATGTGCACCCATGCCTCCATCCCCAGCCTCTTAAGTGTGAACTTGGAGCCATAGGGCTTTGCTGGGGACCAGGAAGCAATGTCTGTGGCCCAGAGTCTCACCAACCTAATATGGACAGACAGAAGCCTGGTTACCCTCCCCACCACCCTGACCACACAGGGACAGAACCACTCTAGGCCCAGCTCCACCGGAGCTCTAGGGTCTCTGCTCTCTCATCTTCCTGGTCTTGGTGTGGGGAGGAGCTGGGCAGAGAATGGTTGTAATGAAGACTTTTGGGCAGTACTGACTGGAGAGTGTTCCACACTTTGAAGTAAACAATTTCCATCAAACTTCTTCTTTGTCTCCTTCTGGCTTTGCTCCCTAAGTTAAGCTTAACCTTAGTGACAGCTAAGAATGGTACTGACTCTTCCCCATAAAGGCCTCTTACACATCCTCCCATCCCTTCCAAGAGAATATGCAGAGGAGTATAGTAACTTTTTAGGGATGACTACACAACAGAAAATGACTTCCTCATCATTTCTCTCTCTCTACTCCCCTGGTCACAGTTTATTGGTCCTGAGATAGAAATTTGCTCTAAGGTGGGCCAATTAAGGGATTTAGTTAATTCTGGGCTGCTCTCTTGAAGCAGAGAAAGCTGGTCTGCAGAGAGAAGGCAGTAAATGTATGAAGGGGCTCTACCTAATGGATTTCAACTCCTGGTTTCAGTTTTGTTTGACGCTGGCTGTACTTGTCCTTGAATTCTGTGCAATACCTCTATATCCTCAAAATAAATGCTCCCCTTTAAAAAAAAAAAAAGGGAAACTAGCTTGCCATATTTGCCAACAGAGATCTGACTAACATTAAAAGCATTTAGAGTTCCTTCAGTAAGCCTCAGGGAAGAGAGTTGAGGGTTAGGGTAAGGCTGGAGGAGGTGAAGATCGCACTCTCCCCTCTGACGGCATCTTACTGTTCTTCCATCAAGCGGCCGAACTTCTGCCGGGCCAGATCCATGAGCCCGTCAACCTCACTCTTGGAGCGTTTGAAGTTCTCAATGCTGAACGCGTAGACCGTCACCTCTAGGACGCCCAGGTTCAAACACCAGCGCAGAGTCTGAGAGAGGAGAAGGCAAGGAGCTAGGGTACAAGGAAGAGCGGGAAGGGAAATAAGAGGTACCTCAGCCCCGACTCAGTGTTGGAGGAGAGAGACAGACTTCTCTCCTCCCCAAACTGGGTAAAGCTAGCTCAACACCAGTGCTTCTGTCAGAACAATGAACCAAATAAGCAGCAGAAAGCCACCGCTGAAGAAACTGACAAATGTGAACCTGATTAGTACTACTCTACTGATGCTATTGTGGTTTACTGGGAAGAACTCTTCACTGAGAGTCAAGATCTAGGTTTTAGTCCCTGACTCCATCATGTACTTGCTATGTGACTGTAGGCAAATCATTTAGCCTCTCTGGGCCTAAATCTCCTTATATGTAAAATGAGATCAAAATCCATCGCTCACAAAGTGCCTAAAGAACAATACAAAAACACAAGGTATTATTACCCACAGCATAACTTCATTATTCTGTTAGATTAAAAGGCTGATGAGTTATAGGAATAAAAGCAACAATTGCACAGCTGTGCAGCACTGAAGTCTGCAAAGGGTTTTCACATACATTATTTCATTTGATTCTTCAAACAACTCTTTGAGAATGGCGTTACTGTTTTCATGTCTACTTAATGGATGATAAAACTGAGGCTCGCTCTATGGAAAACAGCATGGAGATTCCTCAAAAAATTAAAAATAGAAATACCTTATGATCCAGCTATCTCATTACTGGGTATCTACCCAACGAACCTGAAATCAACAATCCACGGGCTGGCCCCGTGGCTTAGCGGTTAAGTGTGCGCGCTCTGCTACTGGCGGCCCAGGTTCGGATCCTGGGTGTGCACTGATGCACCACTTCTCCGGCCATGCTGAGGCTGCGTCCCACATACAGCAACTAGAAGGATGTGTAACTATGACATACAACTATCTACTGGGGCTTTGGGGGGAAAAAAAGGAGGAGGATTGGCAATAGATGTTAGCTCAGAGCCGGTCTTCCACAGCAAAAAGAGGAGGATTAGCACGGATGTTAGCTCAGAGCTGATCTTCCTCACACACACACAAAAAAACACAATCCAAAGAGGCTTCTGCACCCCTATGTTCATCGCAGCATTATTCACTATAGCTAAGACATGGAAGCAACCCAAGTGTCCCTCGATGAATGGATAAAGAAGATGTGGTGTATATATATACCATGGAATACTACTCAGCCATAAAAAAAGACAAAATCGTCCCATTTGCAACAACATGGATGGACCTGGAGGGTATTATGTTAAGTGAAATAAGCCAGAAAGAGAAAGACAAACAGTGCATGATTTCAGTCGTATGTGGAAGATAAACCGACAGACAGAACTGTTTGGTGGTTACCAGGGGCTAGGGGGTGAGGGGTAGGCACAACGGGTGGAGGGATACACTTATATGGTGACTGATAAACAATAATGTACAACAAAAATTTCTCAAAAAAAAAAAGTTAAAAAAATATATATGCACTATAGTTTGATAAAGATAAAAATTAAATAAATAAAAAAATCAAAGCATGAGAGGGAAAAAAACCGGGGAGACCCAGAATAGCACAGAATCTGGAATCATGACATTTAAAAAAATAAAAAAATAAAAACTGAGACTCAGAGAGTTGAAGAAATGTGTCAAAATCCACAACTCTACTGTATGAATCCATCATATGAAGTTCTACAACAGCAAAAACTAATCTTGATAGAAATCAGAACAGTGGTTGCCTGAGAGAGGAAGAGGAGGTGGGTCAGAGTTTTGGAAGGGGCACAAGGGAACTTTCTGGAGAGATGGAAATGTTCTATATCTCGACAGCAGTGTGGATTAGACAGATGAATGCAACTGTCAGAACCCCAAATCTGCATTTCACTGTATGCAATTAAACCTTAATGAAAACAAAGTGAAACTCATCCTTAAACTCGGTCCTTGGGGCTGCTCTACTCCAGTACTGCTAACGGTGGAGAACAAACTGCAGCTGAGAATAACAGTGCTGAGACAGGGAGCCTGGAGGTTCAAGAGGATGGAAGACGTTCACACAGAACTGACGAAACAAAGCTGAAGAGCTGCCTTCCTAATCCCTTAACAGACACACACACAAACCAATTCACTGCCACCTTAGGAAAATTACCAATGAGAACCTGACACTTAAACAGCCTCAGGCCCTACAGACTTTACAGTGCAGCCACTCTGTCTGGCGTATCAGAGTCGGAACCCACCACTGACCTCAGTCAATGTGGGTGCTAGTAACAAAAGCTACCATTTTTTGAGCAATTCCTTTAATCCAGGTCCTGTGCCACATGCTTTTTATTATACCATCTTGTTTAATCCTCACACAGTCTCCTGAGGTAGAGATTATCACCATCCCCATTTTACAGATAAAGAAACTGGGGCAAAAGGAAGTTGTATAACTTGCTGCTGGTCACACAGCCAGGAAGTGGCAGAGCAGGAGCGCCAATGAGTTCTGAGTGACTCCAGAGCTTAAGCTCCTAAGCACGAGGCAAAACTGCCACTTACTTAGTCACAAAGAGAAGCTGGGGGCCGAACCTAAAGACCTCCACAGAGTGTTAGAGAGAGCCCCACAGCCACTCACTCAAGGCAAAAAACATCACTGCCCTGGCATCAGGCCATGTTCTTGTGCCAGGAAGCTGAGATCTGTGGGCTAGAGACCATATTTCCATTCTTCTTACAGTTAGTTTCACAAAGAATGACATATTACATTCCTATTGTTAAATTCAATGTTTTCCAATTTGCAATACGCATTAAAACCATAAAATGTTTGTAATCTTTGCTTAGACTGACGTCCCAGATTGCCTGGCACTTTTTCCAGTTTAAGCACTAAAAGGCCGGTGTCCTGAGAAACCCCTCAGCCTCAGGCAAACCAGGATAGGTAGTCATTCTACCTTTGCTCCAGAAATGTCACTTCTTAGAATTTATTCTAAAACAGTACTATTTATAATGTCCAATAACAGTGGAGAAGCTAAACAAATTATGTCAGATCTTCATGATAAAATATTCCACAGTCATTAAACCATTTAGTTATAAAGGCTATATATCAACCTAGAAAAATACTTGCCAAAATGTCAAGAAAAAATAAGGTTATCAAAGCTGTAGATATAATTTTATAAATGTTAAGTCATGTTAGAACATATTACAAGGACTGGGACGAGGCACAGAAAAATATAAACTGTTGATTTATTAAGGTGGTAAGAGGAGGCAATTTTGTTCTTATTTTGTGATGATTCACTGGATGATTTAATTTTTTGTTAATGCTGATGTGAGACCTATGGCTAGCAAAATAAAACAAACAACTCTAAAAAATGCTCTCAAACCACAGCAAACTCAGGGCCTGGTTTTCTAGCTATAATCCAATTCTCCACAGACTGTTCACCTTGGGTTCTGCCACCCACACCCACCTCAGCCAGCTTGTTGAAGCCCTGTGAGTGGCCCTCCTGCCGCTCCACTTGGCACTTCTTGGCATAGCGACGGTTCCCATCCATTATAAACGCAATATGTTTGGGCATCGGGCCTGCCTGTGAAGTAAGGAGGCAAATGATGAACACATCACACACTCTTCAGGGATAGAGGGGGATACTACACCCCAAGCTGATAGGCTTGAGCTATACGATAAAAGCCCTGAGGAAGAGACTTGGATATTTTGTGCTTTTAGCTCAATACATGAGTATTAAGCACTTTTATTTATCTTTATTTATATGTTTATTGAGCACTTACTACATGCCAAGTACTATGTTAGACTTTTTATACTTCATCTTAGTTTTTTTTTCATACAAACCTATAAAGTAAATACTATTAACTTCATTTTATAGGTGAAAAAATGGAGGCTCAGAGAGGTCAAGTGTCTTGCACAAGTCACACAGCTAAGAAGCCAAGTAGAGATTCAAACTGAGGTCTGTGTGCTTTCAGAGTTCATCTTTTAAGCATATGCTCTTAACTGCCACGTTGGTTTTATTAGTCTCCAGCTGGGAGGCATAGGAAAGATAGTGTCGGGGGTGGTCAAACAGAGAGGGCATCCTCCACATAAGAGGAATCCACTTCTCAGCTCTATCCAATTGCTGCCACACAGAAATGGGGGTCCAATGTTGTTAGATCTTCTAATTATATAAGAGAAGCCAAGCATCAAGATTTTTATAAAAATTTAAATGTCAGGAGCCATTTCAAAGCAAACAAAAAGGACATTTTTGGGGCCAAACAAAACTTCTTGTCCGGTTTAGAGTAGCCTTTTGTTGTCTACCACAGCAAAAATTCACTCCTTAGCCTAATCTCCCTCACTGGAGGGGCTCTTCATTGACTGCTTCCCCCATACCTCTCCAACATTTTCTGCTTTTGTACCCCACATGTATCCTTTAAAAAAAAATTCCAGTCCAGTCATGCAGCCTGTTCTTCCTAACACATGACTGCAGTAGTTCACTGAGGAGCTACTTTCCATCTCCTGGCCTAAGATCACTTGGCATTTGTGTGTGTGTGTGTGTGTGGGGGGGGGTATAAGGCTTGCTGACTCATCAGTTCACTGCTTGACAGCCTGTGGTTGAAAAACAAAACCAAGCCAACTGGCTTCAATCTCAAACCTATCATATGCAGAGGATATAACATTACCGTGATTCCTAGAGAAAAAGCTGAGGGAAGATTTGGGGAAGCCAAGGAGGTGTAGTAAATAGAATGACTGTAGTCTTCAAATGGCTGAAAAGAGCCCCAGTAATAGCATTAATTAAGAACTGCTAGATACAAGTGTTTCTATGTATGTTTCATTTAATCCTCAAACAACCATAAAAAGTCACGTGGTTAATAAATGATAGAACAGGACTCTCATTTATGTTTGTCTGCTTTCAGAGCCTAAACTCTTAAGCATTATGTTTCTACAGCCACATCAAGGAAAGATTAGTTATTCTACCTAAATATAGAGGACAGTACTAGGGATAATAAATCAAAGTTCCTGGGAACAAATTCCAGTTCTCTACAAGGAAGACCTAACAGTCTATGCTGCCCAATGATACTGGGAGGTCCTGGGCTTCCTGAAAGTTTGAAATTAGGACAATAATCTGCCAGAAATGTAGACCTGGAAGTTACCTTGCAGATCTAAGACTCGTTGGTTCCACTGCTAAATTCCACTCAACATCATGGATTTAGGTTTTGATACAGGATTACTCAACTGACCAGAAGGCTAACTGGTGCTGTGGGCCACTGCTCACCTTTATGATGTTGGCACAGAACCGCTCCCAAAGTGACAGCTCTCCTTCTTTGATCCATGACATAGTTATTGCCCTGGCAGAAGATGAACCCAGAACAAGGTGACACCAGCTAGGTAACCTTGGATAAACAAGAAAGAGAATAAGAAGTCACCAAGGCTTGCAAACAGCTATGGCTGACCTGTAGACTATGGAGAGCAGCCAGCGTTAGACTCCAAAGACACTGGTCAAAGCCTTTAATCCTTCATTACCCAGTTTATAAGCCAAGGGGACCTCGGGTGCAGAGGTTCTCCTCGCTTGGTGGACCTTGCTCCCATCCCCTTTTCCTCCTTATCTGTACTGACGTTTTCTGAACATCTAAGTCTGCTTCCTGCCACATCATAGTGCCGACATCCTGATCTTTCCCAACTTCTTCCTTCTCCATCTCCCCCAGGCCGTTTCCCCCTCTCTGCGTTCCCCGTCACTAACCCCTTCAGTTGTCGCATGTTACCTTCTACCTCAGTAGTCTCCCAATTATTTATTCCCTCACTTGTCTCTTCACTGTCCCCTTTGTCTCTTCCATAGCTGCCTCCTCGCCCAGTCACCTCGCTCTCCTCTCATTCACCGCTTGAACCCAGAAGCTGCTCGGCTCCGCCGTACGCCTCCCAACCGTTCCAGTAAGTCGACACTTCCTCACGACGTGGCGCTGGAAGAACACGTCATCGTTGGGCGCTGGGACAAGCCCCCTCTCGGCACCCAATGGGCGGGGCCCTGGCCTGCGCCTGCGGACTCCGGGCAGGAGCGGCGCGAGCTGTACGGATCGCAGTTAGCAAGCTCACGGGGGCGGGGAGAGGGGGCGGAGGGAGAGTAGGGCTCACGTCACCGAGTGGGGTGGGCTGCCTCGCTCCAGGCCACGTGCTGGGGACCCGGCTGGGGAAGGCGGGGTCGAGACCGCCTCGGGGAGCGGAGGGTTGTGTAGACCCACAGATTGGAAGGCCTCAGGCCGGCTACTCTACTGAGCGAGAATTCGGGGATGCCCACCGCAGAAATGCAAGGGCTTCTCAGCTGCAGGTGGCAGTTTAGGACCGCTGAGAAATGGGGTAAGGCAGCGTCCTGCCCGCCGAAAGGCCGCAGAACTGGGCTTTGGGACCTTGGTACAAGTCTTAAAAATCCTATTTTTACTGTTTACTGTCTTATTCAGTGGATTTAATCGTTTGGGAAGGTCCTAGCACTAGTCAGTCTCACAGACGCACTTAATATCAATCCATTTTGTGCTGATTTAAGGCTCTCAGATTTTAGGATTTGCAGATACTCAGGACCCACCCAAAGAAACTCAAAACAGGGTTAAGGCCAAAAAGAGCTCTGCTCTAAGAATGACTTCTAAAAGAACAGAAAGGCCATCAATTAACCCTGATAGAAAAATCAAGAGCATTAGCTCTGTACCAAACCTTTAGGGAAAACTATTGCAGGAATTTGAGGCACTGACTCACAAAAGAAATCGGGAGTTCAATTTTCTCAAAATTAAAAAAGGGGGAAAAAAAAGAAAGACTTCACAATTTTCAAAGAACCTTCTTGTATTTTCTCACTTTGGATTGCAGTTTCATCAAGTAAACAAGTCGAGATATATTGCACTGATAACCTCCAATTCATTATGTCTTCTTCCACTCTTTCTGATGAAAGGGCTACTTTGAACAGAGTGGCATGATCAAAGGAAGCCTAGAGATGAGTAACCCACCCATGAATAGTCTTAAGCTTTTCCATCCTTCCTGCTTCTCATACTGGGAAGTAAGTTTTGGCCTAAGTGATTACTTCACTTTTGCAGGAAGACTATTTACTGAAGCCCAGTAGTAGTAGTTGGATACTTTTAGTAGCTTCCATGGTCAGCTTTGATTTTTGGTACAAAGTCCCTGGAGAGTATGTGCGAAACTTCTTACCCTTGTTCTGCTAATGTTTCGCTGCACTTTGTGTAATAGTTGGTATACCTCCAATCAAAAAATTTTTCCTTTTTAAATTCTCCTTCCCTTAGGGGGAGCTAGATGTTTAAAAATACAATGTTCATTAGAAGGCTACCAAACTTGGACTCGAATAAAATGTTAACGAGTGTTTATACTTAGGGTATCTCCTCTGGCCTCCATTTCCACCTATTTCCTCCTTAGGGTGCTGCAGTGGGTTAATTAATTAAGATTTGTAAAGGGCTTTGAGGAGCAGGGGACAAAGTATTATTAGGGTCTCATGCCCCAAGCCATGGCCCCATCCTTTCATCCCAGCCAGTGGCACAGGCAACCCCATTCTTATGCATGCCAAACCCCTAATCCCCTTTTGAATGTGGCAGCTTCCAAGGAAAGGACAAGAGGCCTTAACTAGAAACAAAAATTCACTGTAATGAGGTGCTAAGAGGACTTTCAAGATTCATTCCTCACAAAATGGCTGGACAGAGTACTTAACGGTTCTTCTGACTTCGGAGTCACAATCCAAGAAGGTGGGAATTATGGGAGGAGAAAAGCACCCTAAATATCTAACAAAGAGATGACAGTTTCAGTATGAATAAGTCTTTATTTATTCATTGTATTTTCTCAGAGAAAACAGAAGGGAAGGAAAAAAGGTCAGCATGTGTGTTACAAAATGATAGCAAATGGCAAAGAAGTACCCGGCACAGCAAAATCAACCATCAAATAAACACTCCCCAGTGACAGGGTTGCCAAAGCCCAAGGGGGCTCCGTCTCCTGCAGTTCAGGAATGAGGGCGAGGGATCAGGGAAAGAACAGACAGGTACATGCTTTCCTACCCTACCTCCCAACCCATAAATTCAAGATTTCACACAAAGCTTTGGTTTCTAGCAGTAAACATGGAGTTACATTCGTCCGTCTCCTATTAAACAATCTTGTGGCCACTTTGACATAAGTTTCTTGCACCTGCATAAAAGTTTCCTGAGTGGCTTGGATATACATCCACCTTCCCTTCTTTGGTCTCCCGACCCCACTTTCTACATGGAAGGTCCCCTCATTGCTTCTCTTTACCCTAGGATTAGAGATTAAAGTAGGTTTGATCCATCCAAACACAGCAATCTAAGTGTTTGGCATGAATCACATCAAGGAATGGTCCTGACTTAGAAGACTGGGAACAAGGGATGGAGGGTTCTTAGCTTCTTCAGGATTTTTGCACAAATCATTTAAGAGTTGTGGAGACACCCCACAAATTAAATGTGTAGGTGTGTGGGCTTTTTTCTTAGGGAGATGGGGGAGTAGAGGAAGGGGTAGGGTAGGAATCAAGTTTTTAGGACAGAAGATCTGGTCCCAAATAGGATATAGGAGAAGGGAAACGCAAAAGAAAGGATGGTTCAAGCCCCCCCCCCCCCCTTCAAGAAGAAGGGTCCCCAAGCTTACATTTCAGATCCTTTTGCCTGGTGCAGAACCTTTTGTCAAAGATGCTTTGGCTATTTTTCTCAATACAAAAAGAAGTTTGTAAACAATAAAACCCCAAATGAACACGGAGAAGACCAACACATTATATTTACACAAAACGAGGCCACCTAGCAATCACCAAATCAGCTACTCGTGAAGACCTACAAAGCCCAGACAAATACAATAACTAGAGGGGGCCAGCAATTGGGGGAGACTAGAACCCAGATCAGACACACATCACCCAATGTGGTCTATTGCATTTGCCCCGTTTCAACAGTGAGGTAGGTTTGCGGTGATCTCACAGCATGTAAACGAAACCCCGTTTTCTCCTTTAGCTACCACAATACTATCACTGGTGCAGCAGGGCAGGACACTGGCTCCAAGCACCACAAAGAAGCCATCACTTGTGGTCTCTGTGGAAGCCAAGGAGGAAAAGCCCAGAATTGTTAAAGGTTAAGGATTTTGTCCTTGCTTCGAATATCCATCCCTGGGCGGCTCAAGATGGGTACAGAGGTATTGTTCTTAGAACCTATCCTTACCAACTCACATTATTTACAAAAACACATACATCCTGTTGTGCATGGTAGGCCTAGCCCAATCCAGTGAAGGATGGATCTGGTATGTAAACCAAGTCCTGTGCCCTGGGATTAGAGGTCTGGAACAGGAATTCTTTATCACTTGTATGGACAGCTCTCACCTAACCTTGGCTTCACCGCTGGGCCTTTCCCCTGGCCCAGCCTCTCCTAACCTCTCTGCATCACCTCTTCTTCTTCAGACCAATTTCCAGTCTTCCAGTAGGAGATCAAGTCATGGGGCAACCCAGTTAAAACCTAGTCTCCCACGAAATGTTGACGGTGGAGGGGTTTCAAGAGGACACTATGGCAGAAAAGCCAGCTCTAATTGGCAAAAATGAGGTAGTTCAATAGGCTGTGCACTCCAAATAGTTGTTCTCCCTGGTGATACAACAAAAACTATTCCTGCTGTGCAGACCTGGAGCTGCTGCTGACTTATCCCTGAGATTGCTCATGTACCTGAGAACACAGTGCAGGAATGAGGGCCTTAGATTAAAATACACAAAAATACAAAACCAGAATATTTATATTAAGAAAAAAAAAGTTAAATGCACAAGATACGTCATTCGCACACAGCTAGTGCAGTTGGCATCCTGGAGAAAGTGGGACCCAAGATGCAGTTACCCAAGGGAGCAAATAAATAAAATTGTATTGGCCCAGAATGGGGTGGGAGTAAATTTAGGAGCAGCGGGTCTGCAGCTGTTCCCCCAACCACCTCTTTTGCCTGTCGTCACAACCCACTGCTTGGGATAGCTCTCAGCACCCTATCCCAAGAGTGGGTTATGAGGAGAAAAGATGTGGAAAAACCCTGCCTTACCCCTGAGAGAATCCCTCCCAATAGAATCTAGTGGCTTGTGGGTTTGGGTCCAGTCTGGTCTCATGCTTAATCTTTTCACTCTGCCGTGGGAAATATTGTTACATATCCTTCTTTAAAAGGAAAACAACTTCTCTGTTCAGGCCACTTTCAAAAGCTTGAGATTTTGGGGATAGAGACTCAGATAAAGCATGCTGGGAGGGCTGCCCCTCCCCCAAGCCCCCGTGTGCCTTTGGATAGAGCATGGTTGGAGTTCCTTTGCCTCACCCCTTCCTCCCACCAAGAGGGAAGAGAGGGTGATGCTGTGAACTCCGGCCTGAGATACATGGCAGTGCCAGCTGCCGTCTACCCACCCTGTCCCCACCTTCTCCGCTCTGCCGATTGATGTCTGCTCCTCGAAACTTCCTGATCGCAAAAGCATAGCCACCGCACACTGTGGCTCAATTCTGGGCCTCCGGGAGCAGGGCAGGGCTATGGATCTCTTCTTCTTCCTCCCGAAAGTAGGCTGGCTTTCCCTGTGAGCCGGGGGCTTGCTGGGCCTTCAGCGGACATGAGGCCACCATATGGCTGATGCTTTGGCAGAAGTGGCACTTCTTAGGCTGGGGTGGCAGCTTACATTCCTTGGCATGATGGTCTAAACCTCCACAGTTGTAGCACCTAGGTCAGAGCAAAAAGGTCAAGTTGAGAGAAAGTGAGAAGAGATCGGAAGCCTTCCTCTGAGTGAGAACACCTGGCCTCTGGTCTAGGTTGTTCTAAACTCACTTCCCTTCCTGAAGACCAATTTCCCCACTTATAAAAGGAGGAGTATGACTAGATATCTCTAAGTCCTTTATAAATCTTTAATTGTCTAGATGATAGCTTCAGATTCAGGTCGACTTGAAAACACCAAGATACCAATAAAAATCACAGACCCCAACTGGGAACTGCAATTTGGGGGATAGGTTAAGACTTTACCATACCCTTAAAAAACTGTACTTGTCATTCATTAAACATATAGAAGAAATCAAAGGAGTCAGACAATATGATCTGTTTGAGCACAAAGCTAAGATGAAAGAAACCAGCCATTTGGAGACCTGAAGAAGCAACAGGTACAGATGCACCATCTTGTCCTGACCACTTACACTTTCACATCCATGGTCTCCTTTAGTTCTAAAATAATCATGTGAGGTTTGTATCTCTGTCCCCAGTTAATCGAGGCTAGAGCTCACAGAGCAAATTACTTGTTTCAAGTAGAAGGCTAGGTCATCTCGAGTGACCTGCTCACATACTGCCCTCTCCTTGTCTCCCACATCCACGGCAGGTACCCCACCACCAGATGTTGCCAGGGACCACAGACTTCATTTCATCTTTGGTAACCTGGTCCTAGAAAGGGGCAAGATTGGGAGAGCTCGCCCCACCTTCAGCATGTCCCTAACAACCCACATAAGCTGCCTCCCAATCCATACCTGTCTCCCTTTGATCTGCGCTTCTGCAAGTTCTTCCCTTTGGGCCGCCTCTCACTCCCAATACAGAAGACCCCACCAGGGCCAGTGACTCGGATAGATTCCAGGCCCTTGGCAGACTTCTTAAAAGTGAACTCCACTGCCTCACCCTCCTTCAGGCTCCGGAAGCCCTCCATGTGCAGCTTACTCTGGGGAAGGGAAACATGGTAGATTTTAACATTATTATCACACCATTGTTACACCAAAAACAAACAAAAAACTGCATACACATATTCCTGTCAAGTAGGAAGAACAAGTATGATAACACATCCATTTTATCAGTAAAGAAACTGTGACTCAGGAGTCAATTAAGAACAAGAAATCTACATGACATTAACAAAGATCATTATGTTAACAGATACCATAACATTTTTTGGCAGCTATTCTCATTTACAGTTCTAAGTAAAATAGAACAGAAGGAAAATTCTTAAACATAGCATTTATAAGAAATCAAATATAAAATGTCAAGGTCATGAAAGACAAAGCCTGAAGAAGTAAAGAAACTGAACAATTAAATGCAATGCATGATCCTGGACTGGATCTTGGAACAGGAAAAAATATTAGGACAATTGACAAAATTTGCATATGGAATGTAGACAAATGTATCAAGGTTAAATTCCCTGATTTTAATCATTGTACTGAGATTGTGTAAGAGAATGACCCTATTTTAGAAAATACTGAAATACTTAGAGATAAAGGTGCTTTATGTCTGCAACTTTTGGTTAAGAAGAAAAAAAGAAGGTATCTGTACAAAGAAAAAGAATGATAAGCAAATGGGACAAAATGTTAAGAATCTGTGCATCTGGGTAAAGGTTATATGGTATCCTTGTAACCTTTTTCCAAGTTTGAAATTATATCAAAATAATGTTGCTGAAAGTTGATGGAAAAAGAGTATGACTCAAGCAGACGATCAATAGATTATAAGGGAAAGTCCATTAGGACGTCCAAGTATATATAGAGTCATCAGCAGGTGAGGAAAATAATTGAATAAATACTGTTGAGAAAGTTAGCTATCCGTTTGGAAATGAGCCAAAATTCTACACTTTCTATCATCTGTATGCAAAATACATCCCGGCAGAATTAAATATTTAAATACTAAGAAAAAAAAACAAACCTTAAAAAAGTCAAGACAGATAATTAGACTGATAAAACTACAAAAAGCTACTATAAATCAGTAAGAAAAAAGAATCACTGAACAGAATATAAGTAGGTAATTTCCAGGAGGACTTAGCGTGACACATTTGTTCAATATCGCATTGGTTAAAAAAATCTACCATGCAGCCATGAAAAACAACGTAAAGTCCTTGTTTTGTTCACTTTTGCATTTTGACACCTAAATAATGCCTAGCACATTTTTGGATGAATTCATGAACAAGGAAGTAGATTTTAATTATTTGACTTGGAAAGATGACCAGATAATATTGTTAAAGAAAAAAGATTTAGAAGAATGGGTGGAACAATCCCATTAAAACACTGTTATGTTCTTACCAAAATTTAAAAATATTGACACTTGCAAAGAGCCCAGCAGTCTTCAAAAAAAAAAAAAAAAAAAGGGAGTTATTGACAAAGCTAGTTGAGTGGCAAAACCAGGGTCAGAAGAACCCAGGGTTCCTGATTTGAAGCTCACAGCCCATTCCACCTTGCCACTTGCTGCATCGACAGCAACACATTAGTGGAAGTGAAAGCTTCTCCCAGACCCTACCCAGAATAGACTTCATTATGGCTTCCTCCATTATAGTGAAACATCCCAAGAGTGTGTCAAATGTCAACAAGGTGCAGTCATCATAGAAAATGGGGTTCAGAGAAGCTTAAGAGATCACTGTGCACCTAGTCCTGGCTCAAACAAACACAAGTAAGCAGCATTATTTTATGCTGGGGGGGGGGGATATTTCAAACTGTGACTTAGGTGAAGCATGCTCTTTCGCCAAATGGGATACCCAATTCCTCAATCATTTGCATTTTTGTTTTAATTTAGATGGTATTGCTTAAGACAAACCTCCCGTTGAGGTAATTGGTTAAGAGCCCAGGCTTAGGTTCATGAAATGCTGGTTCTTCCAATTTCTGGCTGTGTGACCTTGGTCAATCATTCACCTCTGGGCCTCAGATCCTTCAGAGAATGGGATAACACTAAACTATCTGCCTAAGGCTCCAATGAAGATTATGCAGGCATGGAAATATCAAGCATATGTGCTCAATAAATATTTCACGTTATTTTTACCTGTAGCTTTCGTCTACCACTTCCATCACAGAATATTCCAAAGGTTGGGGGTCCTTTCACTTTTTATTCCCACAGGAACAGCCAGGGACGTGCTGACCCCCCTTCCCCTCTAATGTTGCTGTGAGGGAGGGGGTAGAGCATTAAAGCAGGAAATAAAAACACTGAAGAAAAAGGTGAAACGCCCTTTCCCTTCCCCTGTTGCTCAGTAACTACCCTGAATTTGAAGTTGAGATTTGACTTGTCTCTTACTGAGCTGGGACAAGCCAGTGAGTCAGGAGGTGCTGGAGAAGCTAGACCAAGAGCATTCTTGACCCGGGTAATCCCAGCTCCTCCCATTTGCCTAGTTGGCTCTTAGGCTGGGACACTCCCAGTTCTCACTGGGATCCAGCACATAAGTCATTAAGAACAAGTGTTTGGAGTTGGAGGGCCTGTTCCCTTCTTTCTGTGCTAACCTGCTAAACGGAGTCAATACTAATTTTATGGTGCTGCCGTGAGGTTTTATGCATGAAAAGTAGTTAACATATAAATCTTCAGTGAGTGGCAATTATCATCAACCTCTTCAGACTGGATCAGGGCGGGATAACAGTGAGGACCAAGTGTCAAGAGACTTGAAATTTTCACTCTGGTTTTTATTACTAACTAGCTGTGGAAACTCAGAAAAAATCCCCTCTCTGCACTCCAGCTTACCGAGGGTTGCACTCTCCTCCAGCTACACCTCATATACTTACTGTGAGGACAGGATGATATAAATGGGGACTGTATGAAATTGACCAGTCTTCTCAGGTCACCCACTCCATCATTGGAGGATTTGAGGTCTGTTTAAGACTTTCAAAGAGTAAAAAAAAAAAACCTTGCAGGCACCTCACCAAAACCGGTCTGAGATTCAGACTGGTGGTCTCCAGGGGTGGCTCCCTGCTCCGCCCCACCTCCCGCTCCTTTCTAAAACACATAGTTTGAATTCCTCTCTTATCAGATAAGTAATCACCGTGCAACCCCACTGAGCTGGCCTCACAGGGCCTGCATCAGAAAGGAGCCTGAAATTCTTGCTCCCACCCCCACCCCACCCCTAACCACACACAAAACAGGGCCCGCCCCTCTCCCCATCCCCTCCAAAAAAGAAAAGGCCTTGGGGGGAGGGGCAAGGCTTGAGCTCCCCCAATAGAGCCCAGCCCCAGGAAACAAAGAGTTGACACTGGTTGGTTCTGGTGGTCAGATTCCTGGAGTTCCAGAGGCTGCAGATTCCCCCCTGACTCACCCCCCACCCCCATTCACCACATTCATCAGTTCCTTCCTTCCTCTCCACGTTGAGGTTATGGTCACGGTGAGAGAAATGGATACAGAGACACCTTTCTTCCCCAGTCAAGCTTGCTGGGTCTTCCAAAGTCACCGCCAGCAGCCATCTTTCCTTCTCTTCGACCCGCCATCCCACCCTTCAGGGGATGGAACTACACGGGCCCCTATCCACTCGGGGGCCTTCAGTCAAATCCTTTACACAGGAAACTGAATTAGGATTATTTACTCAGATAAATTATTCTAAAGATGAGTAGGGGAGGCAGGCCTCCCATCTTCCTTTCCCAACTTGTTCAAGGTAGGAGGGTGTCAGCCCACTGTGTAGGGGAAGATGGCATTTAATCAGACAGAAAAGTTGCAAGAGGCAGGTTTTTTTTGGATGGCCTGGAAGGCCTTAGGCCTTCTGTTCCCTAAATACCTAACCGCTGCCTACTCTAAACTTCCCCCAGCATCAACTTATGGTTCTGTAAATTTAGAGATAGAAGGGACCTTAGGGTCACTCAGGCAATGTAGTGGAGTAAAAAGCACACAGCAACCTGAGTTTCCTTCAACTGCTCTATGAAGCTGGACTAGCCCTAATTCTTCCCCTCCCCCCCAAAGCCCCAGTAGATAGTTGTATGCAATAGTTGCACAGCCTTCTAGTTGCTGTATGTGGGACACGGCCTCAGCATGGCCGGAGAAGCGGTGCATTGATGCGCGCCCGGGATCCGAACCCAGGCCGCCAGCAGCGGAGCGCGCGCACTTAACCGCTAAGCCACGGGGCCGGTCCTAGCCCTAATTCTTGAATCATTTGTAAAAGCAGGGGATCAGACTTAATGACAACCAGGCCCCGTCCAGCTCTAACCTTGCCCGTTTTAGTCACATCACTCCTTTCTACAGGAAAGAACCCAGAGTCAGAATTTCAGGACTCTTGGTTGGGACCCAGGGATCAAAGTTGGGATTCCTGGCTTTTCTGCAACACCAACGGCCATTTTAGCTCAAGACTATCTAATGCATGTCTCTACCCTCATTTCTAGGTGCCTAGCTGTGCACAAACATTTGTGGATTAAACTAAGATCTCTGCTATCCAAAATTACTACTATTTATTGATGCTTACTGTAGGCTAAGCAATGTTCTAAGCACTTTACACGTTGTAACGCATTTAAGCCTCACACCAAGCCGGTGGGGTAGTCCTTCTTATGACCCCGTGTTAAAGCTGAGGTCATGGAGACAGAGGGGTTAAGCACTTTGCCCAAATTCAGTGAGAGGCACAGGGGCTGATTGCAACTAGCCTGACCCTATGGCTAGGGTTATGCAACATAACACAAGTTGCATATATATATTTTAAAACTTCCTGATAGCCATATTTAAAAGGTAAAAAGCAGATGAAAGTAATTTTAATGACTTAGTCCTGAGGTGTCCTCACAGTCTGTGCTGGGCTTCATTCCTGAAGGTAGGGTTTGGTAGGGCTAGGAAACCAACCAGTTCTCCCAGAAGCCATTTATTCGATGTGTGTGTCAAGGAGGATGGGATAAAGAGATCTGTCCAGAACCAAAGTCTGCAGGCAGACAACCCCCACATCACCTCTGCTCTGACACAGCCAGGACCACCAGCTCCTGCTTGGAGTTCTCCACCAGATGGTGCTGCTCATCAGCCTGTCTGTACAAAGGGAGCCAGAGGGAGCATAGAGCAGAAGGAAGGCGCTGCGTGGTTCTGAACTGTAAAGAGGACTTCACCTAAATTTATCCCCCAACCTCCTTAGGGCAGGAGCCTTCCCCTCTGTCCTCAGGAAGGAGTTTCAAGGGGAGTGAACTCTAATGAGGACCCAGCCCAGGGTGGTTCCCTATAAAGATGGAGGGCTTACTTCACACACAGCCCCTACCCAATCAAGGAGTGCGAAACATAGGATCCTGGAGTTTTGAGCCAGAAACCCAGTTGTGCTCTACTGTTGACAAAAGCCATTCACTCTCCTTGGACTTTGGTTTTCTGTCTGAATTAAGTAATTCCAAGCTGAGATAATTTAAAGTTAGTCTGTACTAATTGCGGACTATTCTTGACAGTTTTCTCCTTCTCCTCCCCCACCTCCTCTGACCTCCCAGACAGACTTAACATAGATAGTAATTGTTATTCATGCCTGCAGGAAGAAGGGAGGGGTGGAGGTTTTGCCTAGGGCAGTTTTCCCCCAAAACAGGGAATTCCAGTAGGGACTGTGCTAGTTTGATTAGGAATGTTGGAGACAGGACCTTGCCCTGCGTAAAGTCACTGAAAGCCACTTATGGGGCAGGCAGTAAAGTGCCACCAACTATAAGGTAGAAGTTTCTCATATTGGAAGTTTTGCGCAGGATGGTGGCATAGCCTTTTCTCGGGACATTGTCTAGAAAGCATGTCTCCCCAGAAAGAGAAGGACCCAAGAAGATCTCATAATGCTCAAACTAACCCATGTACTTCTCTACCAACTTTCTAAAAATCAAAGTGATCCACTTAAAAAAAAAAATCAGATTTTTCCTATTAAGTTGGAAATGAAATAACTAATGAATGTCCACCAAACCTGTGGCTTCCAGTCCATGAATGAAAACAAGAGGATCCTATCTGGGGCTCAATGTTGACGTTTCTGCCACAAACTTTCATGGTAGATCTACTGAGTGCCAGGTCTTATTCTAGACACCATCCAGAAAGAGCAGCTATCAGTTACATTCCCTCCCTATCTCCAGTCTTTCTCTGGAGAAGACCTCTGCTGAGAAAGACCCCAAACTGTCAGCGTACTCCTGATTCTTCAGGAACCCTTTACTCCTTCGTATTCATTTCTTCAGCCCACCAAGTGTGTACTAGAAAACTAACCAGACAGCTAGTCCCTCTCTTCAAAGAGCTTACAGGTTAGGGGAGAGGATAACAAGTACATCACTAACTAGACATGAGGTGAGTAAGCAGGGGCACCAGGAAGGTTGTAAACCAGGTGAGAAAGATCCGTTTACCTTCTCCCCTCCCCCAAACCCCGGGAGTCCTAATAGTCTAGACATTGCCTGAGGTGGCTCTCACCTCTGGCAATCATCCTTTTCAGAAAAAGCAAGCCACGTGGCCTCGGCAGTTTCAACAGTTTCTCGGTATTGAAAACTTTGTCTCCTAACCCAAACTCGGTCCCTGGGTCAAATTTGGGCTCTTCTTTTGCCTCCAAGCCTTCTAATACAGCATTTTAGCCAGAAAGCCATTTTAAACATATTTGAGTTCTGAGGAGCTGCGGGAGAAAGCAGGGAACCTTTTTCTCATTTTCAGATTTCTACAAGTCTTGGGGGTTTGGAAGTTGAGCCGTAGGAAGCATGAGTGAAGCCTAAAATGGCCATGGAGAGTTCAGAATTCTTGGTGAATTTCAGGAAAACAGGAGATAATTTAGCTGTCTCTTGCTCCAGCTTTCCCTGTATAATTGTGTTTCTCAACCGGGGATGATTTTTGCCTCCCAGGGGGCATTTGGCAATGTCTAGAGACAATTTTGGTTGTCACAAATGGAGGATGCCCAGAACGAGAAATTATCCTGCTCAAAATGTCAGTAGTGCTGAGGTTGAGAAACCTTGATTTAAGGGCTGGCCACCTGCCATTATTAAGATTCTTAAATTCCCCTACACCCCAGGGACAGGCAGAGAGTTCTAGATCCAAAGACTTGTGGCTGTGTAAAAGGGTTTGAGAAATCTCTTTGCTGTCTGGTTTTTTTTTTTTTTAAAGGCTAAGGGTAGGTTTTCTTTCACACTCCTGTGGCGGCATAAAGTGTTCATGAGGGAGTAGAGAACAGTGTTTTGGGAACCAAATAGGCCCAACCTTGGAAGGGAAAAGGAAATGTTAAATTGCTTTTCCCCCTTCCTCTCTCCTTAGAAAGGGACTCCCTGATCCCCTCCCTTGGCAGTGTTTTCTAAGGACAATTATTCTTCTCACCATGCGCACCCCAACTCCAGGGTGCTCGCCACCAGCAGCCAAAGTAGGAGAGGTTTTCTTGTTAAAGAGAATGTCTTACCCTCTCTCCACTTTGGGAATACTTTCTTCTCCAGGACAATTTTTAAGGATCATCTTGCATCTACATTAGATTTCCAGAGAGACATTTCAGATTTCTCAAGCACAGGGACTGGAATCACTAGTCTAACTTCCTGCTACGCTAGGGTTTGAGAATCAACCCAAGCTCTAGCCACATGCTTATCGTAAAGACAGAGCTGCCAGGTAAGGCTCAGGAAATTTCCACCAGTCCTCTGTGAGTGTTTGGGGTGGGGAGGAGAGGGTGGTGGTGGTGGTAGACAAATTCTTGATTCCTTATCCCAGCTCAACTCCCTCTTGATAACTTATTCAACTGTGGAATACCCCTGGACATTCCAAAACCCCAAAGTCCAGATTATCTCCCAGCTAACCCATCTGAAAGAGCTTGGTGTGGGCTCTACTCCCCAAATCTGAAGGTCCCTGCTTTCCTCTATGCCATCCAATAGACTCCCAGTTGCTTTCGATCCTGTTTAAGTGGGCTGAGGTGTGGATCCATTTGCTCAGGAAAATCTTCCTTGGGATTTGGATAGCACCAAGGAATCCTAGATGATGAGGGGTTACGTTCCCCTCAGCCCCTCCCTATTTAGCAGCCTTTAGAAGGAAGGCAAGATGTTGGGTCTGACTCCTTTATTCCAAGCCTCCCCAAATTGGGGAAGCTGTCCAGTCCATCTCCAGACCAGGAGAGATTTTAATCTCTTTGTGATCAGATAAATGGGAGAGTGGGGGAGCTGGCCACCCCGCTGAGGAGGGCCATTCAAAGCTGGTTCCTGTAATAAAGTGATTTAATAGATCTAAAGAGGCCAATTCCCTTCTTTCTCCCACAATTACTTCCTGTGGGTTATCATTCACATATGTAAATGAGACAGGGAGGGGGCAAAGCCACCAGCCAGAACTACATGTCTAATGGGAGTAAGGGTGGGGGAGGAACAGGGTGCAGCAAGAGGCTAGCTAAGCATCCTGCTGCAGGCCCTCCTGGCAGATGTTCCAGTATCCCAGTGACCCCAAGTTGCCAACATTTACTGGCGGGTCCCCATCTCCCTTGTTCCTCCCCACCATGTTGTTGCTGAGAGCTGTGCTTGGAGACTTCCCTGCTGCCTCCAACTAGTCCACCCAGCATCTCCCTTCTCCACCCCTCCCCCTCCAGAATACCATCCCTCAGGCTCCAACTCTTAATCCTCACATCCTCCTTTCCCCTCCCCCACAGCTCCTAAAGCCAACCTCCCCGAAGTAACCCCTCCCTGCCCGGCCTGGGTGTCAACCTCCTGGACCTGGGATTAGCAATTTCTTCTTCCCATGTCCAGCCCCAAGCTCCAAAGCGGGAAGGGACACAGGCAGCAACTTCCTTTACATGGTTGTTAGGGGTGGCTGGTGTCCCAGGACCACCGGAATGCTTCTAAGATATTCAGGATGGGGTGAGAGGAAGGGGAGGCCAGGGAGGAGGGAAATGTTAAGTCTCTGACTCCTTGTTTGAGGCCAAGAATGTTAGGACAGCAATCAACGGCTGTCTGGGGCCATAAATGCCAAGCCGAGAATAGGTCCAGAGGCTAGCCTCCCTCCACCCGCTGCCCTGCGACACTGAATTTCACCCCCACTGGGTTGCCTTGCTTTAACTGAGAACTTGGGGTTGCAACCTAACTCCCTCCCAGCCTGGTCCAGGAATCTAAGGCCTGGGCTCCTTAGATTTTCCTTCCTGGTAGGAACTGGACAGCAAAAGCCACCAAACTGGACAGCCGGTGAACTGTGTTGTGTGCCTGAGATGGGTCCTCCGGAGGAGCTTTCAAGTCACCAAATAGATCCTTCAAGAATCTGCCAAACCCACCCAGGTCCCAAGGCTTGAGTTTTGGGTGACTACCTGGGTGAGGAGACCTGGTTGATTTCTAAGCTTTACCATCATTGGGTCCTGGAGCAGGGTTTCCTCCCTCTCACTCACCCAGGGAGCTCCATTCACACGTTAGTGAAAGGCGCTGGGCACTCAGGGCCCTGCTCTGGCCAGGCATGTGCTTCCCTGACCAGCCTGCTCGCCCTCCCCCCACCGGCAAGCACAATACAACCTTAGTTTCTGCCACATGGGGTCACCTCCCTGCCCCCTGGCCCCTTCCCAGGGTAAAGAGGTAAAAGACACGTGGTAAGCCAGAGGGGTTCCCGGAAGGGGTCGGGGGTGCTGATAATCGGCTCTGCCCTGCACTCTCGTCCTGTTGGAATTACCAGGGACTCAGTACTGGGGTGCCATGGCAAAGATGGGAACGCACAATGAGGGCCCTTATCTCCCTCAATCCAATTACGGAGTCTGCCCGCCTACCCTAGGATATGCGCGCCAACATCTCCTTCCCCCGGCAAAGTTACCAGAATTGGTCTCACCTGGTGCACAAAGACATCCACTGGGGGGTCGAGCGCGACCCCGGCGCGGGCGGTCATGGACAGGAAGCCGAACCCCATGCGCACGTTGAACCACTTACAGATGCCGGCACCGTGCAGCAGCTGGGGCTCCTCTGCCGCCCCAGCCGCGTCCTCCTGCGACTCCTCCGGCGCCTTGGCGCAGCCACCTGGAGATTGGGAGGGCGCTCAGCTGGGGGACCACGGAATTGGAGGGCCCTCTCAGAGACCCGGCAAGGAGACCCCTGGAGACCCCAGTGTCCAGCCCGCGCGGGTGGTCACCCAGGAGGCTGCAGCTACCAAGCAGCCAGCGAGAAACGACCTGTCCTGGCCGCCTTCCGCGCTCCCCAAGCTTACACTGAGGCCAGTGGTGCCCCAAAGTTTTGCTCTTCTTCCCACAACATGCTGCTCGGGGACAGACAGCCAGACAGTCCCCGCCTCGTCTCTTTCCCCCCGCATCCCCCTAGCCTCGGACTGCACACTGCTGGGACACCAGGGTTCCTTAGTCCAGGGATGGCCCCCTGAAGCAAGAGGCTGCCTGGACTTGGGGTCCTTCGGCCAGCCTGGGGACACTTTCCCACCTCCCTTTTATGTGGCTCCTGGGCGCCCCTGCAGCCTAAGGTGTCCCCAACACGTCCCAAGCTCGAACCTGCGAACTGCTGGTTTGACACAGAGCCCATGGTAGTCGACTGAGCCTGCGGCCCGGGCCTCTGGTCCGGCCGCTGCTGGCCCCAGAGAAGTCCGGAGGCAAAGGGGTGGCTCGGAGAAGAGGCTGCTACATCTTCCCCAGCACAATAGCGGTGGGAGGGCCCACGGCTTTTCAAAGGCTCCCAAATTCTAAAAGACAATGACCCAACCCCCCGCGGGCAGCCCCCTCCCCTCCCCTCCCTCTTCTTTCCCCTCCCTTTCCCTCCGGCTCCAGCTCCGGCCCTCCCCCACCGCTGCGGTCTCTGACACCTCTGGGGTGTCCCTTCTCAGAACCTTGAGGTTTGACACCCCCTCCCCACACACACATCTGGAGACGGGGGCGTCAGACCTAGAAGTCTTGACTACCCCGGAATTTGGGATCTTGCACTTTAAGGCCTTCAGTGGGGGGTCCCCAAAGCAGCATACAGGTGGGGGGCCTGTGGGGTGGTAGTTTTAAAACCACGTGACTGCTCCCCCCCACATTCACACACCACCCCCACCCCCGCGCAGATAATTATACATTCCAGAGAGTTGGGGGAGGGAGGTGTGAGCCTGGCAGCGCTGGCCAATCAGAGACACAAACCACCTGTCAAGGGAGAAATGGATGAGCCCTCCCCCTCCCCCAGCCCTTAAGCTCCCCTCCCCCTCCCTTCCCCTTCAGGCCTCCGAGCTGACCCGGCTGCTTGGCGCTGACCCGCCCTCACCCCCCACCCTCGTGTGCTTAGATAGACCTGGAGTTCAGGACACTAGGAAGCCTGGAATAGGGAAGCAGCGGAGAGGCTGGAGACCCAGCAGGGCTGATCTCTGGTCCTTTCCAAGGCGCTGCCTCTCAAAGTCTGTCTGTCTCTGACTAACTGAATGCCTCTGCCTCCCTAAGTTTCCGACTGAGTTTTTCTGGATCTCTCAAAGCACTCCTAATTGATTCTGTGTAAAGAATCCTTCCCTCTTTCCTTCCAAATCTGTCTAAAATTGGTCCCATGTAGAGCTCTCTGGGAGAGCAGTAGGAACCCAAAGAGGCTTGTAGTGTGTTCCTCTCTGCCAGCCGCCCTCATCTTGTCCCCATCCCCACCCTGTCCCTTTCCCTTGCTAAGAGAGGGACTAAGTGGGTAGGCGAGTGGAAGCATTTCCTCCAGTACTCCAGACACTCTTAGGCTCCCAGACCCTCCTGGTTTCAGAGTCCCATCCTAGCGTGTGCTCTCCTCCCCATAGTGGAGTTGGTGGGGGGAACTGGAGTGAGAGATCTCCTCATTTGAAGAAGTAGCCTCCCCTTCTAGGAGATAAAGAGGGTTGGCCAGGGGGGTGGCTAGTGCCCTGGTCGGAGATGGACAATGGCCCCGGGGCTCAGAGCACGGCCCTGGCCCTGCCCCTTCACTTCCGGTGCTCAGTTCAAACTGGACAATGCCAGCTCCGGCCAGTTCCCCTCCCCCACTGCTACGACCCATTTAAAGGGACAGAGCCTGCTTTCGGGGGCATCCGCTTGCTCTGAATTCAATCTTCTCCACCAAATGTGCAGAACCTCTCGTGCTTCTCATCCTGTGCCCGTGTGTGTTTGCGCACGTGTCTATTTGAGAAAGAGAGAAAGGGGATGAGTGGGGGTAGGGAAGGGGAGATGGGAAGCAGAGCAAGGAGCTGTGGAGAGATTATTTCTCCCTCTTTCCTACATGGAGCGCTCTCCAAGAGACTAAATTTAAGTGTAAGGGATGGGGAATATGACTTTGGGCAATAAAAAGGACAGCGGTGGCCTTTTGCTACTCAGCCTAAGAAATACATATCATTAACAAATATCGTTAGCAATGCTCCACTCCCAACTGAGGACCCTAATTTAGATCTTCCAAGAGTTCTCCAAGTACATCAGCCAAAGCATTTTTATTTATATAATCCTCTCCACCTAAGAGTCTTATCTCCTCCTGTTAGTAGCGCCCTTAACATATATTCATTCCCCTACATCTGTTCCTAAGATTCAGGAGCAGGTGACTGACGTCTGGCTGAAGAAAAGAGAGGGAAAAGGGAGTTTCGCTTGGTCCACTCTCAAGAGAGATTTGTTCCCGCGGCAGGCTTGACCAGCTTCTCTGTCCAGGGTCCTGAGGGCTCTGGGAGCTCTGTCCACGGTGCTGAATAAAGCCACGCTCTCCTGGCTCTCAGCTCCCAGCTTCGAGAATGCCTTCTTGAGTTCTCACCTCCAAGTCCTTCCCAGAAAACCTGATTCTTCTCAAGCTCCCAGTGACCCTGACACACTTGAGATGAATGAAGGGACTTTCTTGAGCGCTAAAGAGAGGGCATTTCCAGCAGTATGTGATTCTGTGAGAGCAGTGCAAATATCTCAAGCTCCTCTTCAGAAAAATGGGTAAAACTATGTATTTGGCTATAGAAGGTGAAGGAGAAAGAGATAATATTTTATGATTCAAAGAAAACCAGAGTAGAAGAGAGACTAATCTCTGTTTTCAAATTATTTTCCTAATTATTAGCGCTTTTCTTAAGAGCACGGGCATTGGAGTCGCTTGCCCATGTTTGAATATCACCTCTAGTATTTACAACTCTGTGACTCAAAGCAACTTTTTTAACCTCTCTATGCCTCAGTTTCCTTCTCTGTCCAGTGGGGATAATGAGAATATTTAACTCTTAGAGTTATTTTGAGGATAAAGTTAGGTCATGTAGGTAAAGCTTTTTAAATAATGCCTGCCTGATAATTAGTTCTTAATAATGTAAATTATTACTATTATTATAGCTATTGTGCACATGCTTGTCTCTATGATCTAGAACCTGCTGGATCATTTGCTCCCTGAGGACTGGGACCGTTCATGTGTTATTTCTTTCTGGATCTTCTCCCACATCCTTACCAGTATGTAGCATAGTGCCTGGCACACAGAAGACACCTAAAAAGAGTTTCCTGGATAGGCTTTTGTTGAAATAATGAATTTTATTGCAATAGTCATAATATTTATTCTCCTAGGCTGCCCCTTTCAAGTCTAAACAATACAAACCCAAGAGGGGTTCAGGAACTCTTAAAGTTGCATATGTGGAGGCAGAGGATGTTTTAGGAAGGGACACATGGCTCCCAACATAATTGATTCTTCATCCCCAATGGGTTGTTTCCATGTGGAAGATGGGAACTCCTGACCAAACCTTCTTCCTCTCTTGGGTCCACATCTCAGGGAAAACTTAGTAAGTACCTACTATGATCCAGTCATTGTGCTAGCTTACAAGTTTGGTGGAGGAATTGGATAAGTGATATGCACTAAATAGTATGATGACCAAAAATGTACCCCCCAAAAGTAAAGAAGAAACCTTCCCTGCCTTCCAAGAAGTTGCAGTCTACTTAGGGAGATAAGACCCGATATAGCTAAGTATTGCAAGTTTCTTCTGTATTGGTTTCTGGGAATAGTAATATCTAGGTAAAAGGAAAAAAAATGGCTCTTTAGACAAGACAAAAGTGTCCAGTATCAACACAAAGAACATCTCCCCTTTAAAGTACTTTGCCAAGTTCCTCTTGTGTAGGTTCATATCTTCATAAAAGGAAGAGCTGAAAGAGGTCTGAGTAATAATAACTCATTCAACATTTAAAAAATATTTATTTAGGGGCCGGCCCGGTGGCACAAGCGGTTAAGTGCGCGCGCTCCGCTGCGGCAGCCCGGGGTTCGCTGGTTCGGATCCCGGGCGCGCACCGACGCACTGCTTGGCAAGCCATGCTGTGGCGGCGTCCCATATAAAGTGGAGGAAGATGGGCACAGATGTT